CTCAAAATAAGTATAAGGAAGAGCGTGCCGCCCCGGGCGGAGCACCCTCTTCGCACCCCTACTCATGCCACTGCTTAGAGGGGAAGGAAAGATTAAAATTAAAAAAAGCCGACTATTTGAAGCTTATTATTTTTGGTGACGTCATCAATGCTTCAAATACTTCGTTTCTATCACACTGTCAAAACTGGGGGAAAAAGAGGGGGGGGGGGAATTAACACTTCCATTTCTCCCTGTTAACCTGTCTCTCTTCAGCCCCACCCCNCGACTATTTGAAGCTTATTATTTTTGGTGACGTCATCAATGCTTCAAATACTTCGTTTCTATCACACTGTCAAAACTGGGGGAAAAGGAGGGGGGGGGGGAATTAACACTTCAATTTCTCCCTGTTAACCTGTCTCTCTTCACCCCCCCTCCACCCTCTCTTCAGCCCCCCCCCCCCATTTATTTTCTTTTTTTCTTTAATCTGCTGTAAATAATGTTGAAACTGTCGCCAACTGCTGATAGCACGGGGGCTTTACTCTCGCGGTGAACTGTTTGCCCCAGAAGTCGGTATGTGAGGTGAGGTCATTCGTCTAAATACCCTCTATCTCGACGGTCTCAAATTAGACTGAATGTATGTCAAGAGGTTTAGCTAAACAAATAGTTCCGACCGTCGCTCCCTCCTGCCCAGCCCCCCTCCCTTCGCCCGGCCAAAGACACCCCCGAGTGCAGTGGGTGTCGGTGGGTAAATTATTTATATCATTCTGGCCAGTTTTTGATTCATAGACATAGACAACCTTCATAGACAACATTCGGAGACAATCTTCATAGACAACCTTCATAGACACCTTCATAGACACCTTCATAGACAACCTTCATGACTGGACCGTGACAAGACCTTGACTGGACACTTGAACGTGACTGGACTGTAACTTGACTGTGACTTGACCTTGACTGAACGGTGACTGGACCTCGACTGGACTGCGACTGGACGCCAGATTACCAGATGAAGGAAAGTCTTCCCCAGCTGACAAAATGTCATAATCGCTTTTAATCCTGATTGCATGTAGAACTCCTCGAGGGAAATGAAATTTAATTTGTATTTGTCGACGCCCTTTTCATCTTTAAAACAGCAATTTACACAACTTTGGCTGCGTCCCTCCGCCAATGGTGAAATCACCGAATTTAAGAAACACATGTCTTTGAAAGCGAAACACACGTTAATAGAAGCTTATGTTTCTTTGGGGTTTATTAGTATTTTTTTTTCAACTTCGTTTTCTGATATAAATATGGAACCATCTTGACAAAAAAAGTTTTCTGAGATAAATATGGAACCGTCTTGACAAAAACGTAGTTTTTCTGAGATAAATATGGAACCGTCTTGACAAAAACGTAGTTTTCTGATATAAATATGGAACCTTCTTGACAAAAACGTAGTTTTTCTGATATAGATATGGAACCTTCTTGACAAAAACGTAGTTTTTCTGATATAAATATGGAACCTTCTTGACAAAAACGTAGTTTTCTGATATAAATTTGGAACCATCTTGACAAAAACGTAGTTTTTCTGATATAAATTTGGAACCATCTTGACAAAAACGTAGTTTTCTGATATAAATATGGAACCTTCTTGACAAAAACGTAGTTTTCTGATATAAATTTGGAACCATCTTGACAAAAACGTAGTTTTTCTGATATAAATTTGGAACCATCTTGACAAAAACGTAGTTTTCTGATATAAATTTGGAACCTTCTTGACAAAAACGTAGTTTTCTGATATAAATATGGAACCTTCTTGACAAAAACGTAGTTTTTCTGAGATAAATATGGAACCGTCTTGACAAAAACGTAGTTTTTCTGATATAAATATGGAACCTTCTTGACAAAAACGTAGTTTTTCTGATATAGATATGGAACCTTCTTGACAAAAACGTAGTTTTTCTGATATAAATATGGAACCTTCTTGATAAAAACGTAGTTTTCTGATATAAATTTGGAACCATCTTGACAAAAACGTAGTTTTTCTGATATAAATTTGGAACCATCTTGACAAAAACGTAGTTTTCTGATATAAATATGGAACCTTCTTGACAAAAACGTAGTTTTCTGATATAAATTTGGAACCATCTTGACAAAAACGTAGTTTTTCTGATATAAATTTGGAACCTTCTTGACAAAAACGTAGTTTTCTGATATGAATTTGGAACCATCTTCCGTCAGTGTGCCTGGACTCTGAATCAGTAATTAATTTTAAAAACTTGAACGCCGTTGATCAGATCATTTTGCTGGGTATGTCACGTGACAGTGTGGGCATTTTTAGATTTTCCAAGTTAATTAATCTTCATTCTATTTACTTCCTCATCAGAGCCTAATCTCTTATAGATATATATGAAATATATACATGTATTAGAATTTCTTCCTGGCCAAATAAAGACATGAACAGTATAATTGTGTTGTGACGTTAGTTGGATCAGTGTGTCACGGATGGAAGGTCAAGGACGCGACGCGAAGTGATTGTGCCCTGTTCGATTTCTGACATGGATCATGGATATATACGTGACGATCTCTAAGCTTTACATTTTTGGTTTTTTGATGAAATTTTAAAATAAGTTTTTATTTTTTTTTCCCTGGGGAAATGTACAGCAAACCTTGGCCTATTGCACCGTGACGTATGGTGACCCTGAGCTAACCACCAGTCATTTTGGACTAGATACTTTGTTGCTGTAGCCTGGATTCACGGTGTCATTTTAATTTGAACAGCCGATTTACTTACATGTGTTGATTTCTAAGCATTGAACTCGTGTGGATTTTAAAATAAAACAATAACGCAAAAGGTCATCAATGGAGGGCTCGGCCACGCGCCCTTCTCGGTTCTCCACCCCACCTCCCCAGTGCCGCTTCGGCGTGGGGCAGTGGGAGAGCGGGGGCCCGGAAAAGAGGGGGCCGAGCGCGGTGGCCGGCCAGGACCAGCTGGACACACTGTCCAGGTGCTCGCTGCACTGGGAGGACTTCTTCGGTAAGACATGAATGGATTAAGTATATGTTGATTTGTGCACACGAGAAAGTGGGTTTTGTGAAACTAGTGTGTACCACATTGTTCATTTAGTGGTCAGCACCTTGTTCAACTGGTGGTTAGCACCTTTTACAGTTAGTGGTTAGCACCTTGTTCAACTGGTGGTTAGCATCTTGTTCAACTGGTGGTTAGCACCTTGTTCAACTGGTGGTTAGCACCTTGTTCATTTAGTGGTTAGCACCTTGTTTAACTGGTGGTTAGCACCTTGTTCATTTAGTGGTTAGCACCTTGTTCAATTGGTGGTTAGCATCTTGTTCATTTAGTGTTTAGCACCTTGTTTAACTGGTGGTTAGCATCTTGTTCATGTAGTGGTTAGCACCTTGTTCAACTGGTGGTTAGCACATTGTTCATTTAGTGGTTAGCACCTTGTTCAACTGGTGGTCAGCACCTTGTTCTTGTAGTGGTTAGCACCTTGTTCAACTGGTGGTTAGCATCTTGTTCAACTGGTGGTTAGCACCTTATTCAACTGATGGTTAGCACCTTGTTCATTTAGTGGTTAGCACCTTGTTCAACTGGTGGTTAGCACCTTGTTCGTTTAGTGGTTAGCACCTTGTTCAACTGGTGGTTAGCACCTTGTTCATTTAGTGGTTAGCACCTTGTTCAACTGGTGGTTAGCACCTTGTTCAACTGGTGGTTAGCACCTTGTTCAACTGGTGGTTAGCTCCTTGTTCATTTAGTGGTTAGCACCTTGTTCAACTGGTGGTTAGCACCAATGTTCCCTTTAAGTTTCGCGGCTATCTCACAGACGCCGCGCAGCAGTTTTGGGTATCCGCGCAGCAAATATCCATGCAACGGTGTGTTTGTATTTTTGGGCTGTAAAATTTTGCACACAAAAAAATCGATACAGTTAAACTTTGCACACAACTGTATGATTTTGCACACGAACCAGCAAACCTTAGAGGGAACTTTGGTTAGCACCTTGTTCATTTAATTATTAGCACATTGTTCAACTAGGGGTTAGCACCTTGTTTAACTAGTGCCGTACATTTCGTATGGTTTAAGCTTATTATGTATTGATTGTTGTGATTCAGATGCTATTTCCCACAAATATGCTGGATGTGGCCACAACACCAGTGTAACAGGCTAATCTTGTTGTGAGATGAAGTTATCCAACAATGTCATCAGTGTGAAATGACGGAGTGGGGCGCGTTCAGTAGTGTATAACAGTTGCATCCAACGCGCCATGCTTTCGATACATGACAGTCTGGTCTGGGGGCACCTTGACCACCCTTTGTACACCCACCCTTTTTACACCATCCTTTTTACACCCACCCTTTTTGATACCCACCCTTTTTGACACCCACCCTTTTTACACCCATCCTTTTGACACCCACAATTTTGACACCATCCTTTTTACACCACCCTTTTGGCACCCACCCTTTTTACACCACCCTTTTTACACCACCCTTTTTACACCACCCTTTTTACACCACCCTTTTTACACCACCCTTTTTACACCACCCTTTTTACACCACCCTTTTTACACCACCCTTTTTACACCACCCTTTTTACACCCACCCTTCCTTTTGACACCACCCTTTTTACACCCATCCTTTTGACACCCACCCTACTCTGTAGTCAGGGTAATCCCTTTGTACCCATAGTGTCACCTGGCCACGGAGCTATCCCCTCCATTACCCAGTCAACATGGCCTCGCCTATGTTTATATGTACCTAGTCTATTTTTAATTCGTCCTTTTTGCCATCCATGTTTTTCTATTGACCAGTTGAGATCCCGAGGTCTGTGTTTTACCCCCATCCTTAAAGGGATTTGTAGAGAAATGTATGCACTTACCCCGACCCCTGTTTAAAAAAAAAAAAAAAATTGATAATAATAAATAAATATTTCAGATATTTTTTTTTTTTTTTTTAAAAGCCCACATCAACCACAACCCTCACTCATGTATTGCCACTGAAACCTAACACAGATTTTTCAATTACTCACACAACAGGTTCATCCCTTGAGCTCGCCCCCTCACTGCTAAATCTTTACGACAACATCAACGCCACCGTGACCAACAGCCATGGCGGTCACCACAACAACGCCACCGACGGGGCCGACAAGAGCCAACGGGTGCTGACCAAAGTCACCAAGACCCAGTCTCTGCCCGTGCGGTCACAGGCCACGCCCAGGTCCACCCAGGCTCACCAGGCTGCCGACCGCCTGGCGTCCATGAAGGAGGCGGACGAGAGCGGGGGGAGCCAGGCCCGGGGTCAGCCCGAGACCAAGAAGCGACCGCTGAGCAACAGTTCCATGTCGTCTGCGTCGAACTCGTCGCTGCAGAGGTTGAGGAAGAAGCGAGCCAACCACCGGGGAGACGACAAAGACTCGCCTGACGCGGCGTCTCAGGGCAAAGGCTCCGGGAGCGGCAAAGATGGCGGCGAGTTGGCCGACGTGGGTGGCGAGGAGCAGAAGTCATCTGACGTTGATGACCCCCGGGACGATGTGGACTCGAGCCCTTACGTAGCGTGGGAAGAGGCGTGCGCCCCTTCTGAAATGGATGGGGTGCACACCCCGGATGGGGTGCACACCCCTCTTTTAGACGAAAACCCGTCAAAGCTACCTAAGGCGCCATTGAGTCAGCGCTCCGACTTTTCCTCCACCCCGAACTCAACCAGCAGCCCGAAACCAAATGACATTTCAAGGTCGTGGATACCTCGCGGTAAAAGACCAGATTCCATTTTAAACGGACGCGTATCCACGTCCACATCGGATCTGGATAATTCCAAAAACTCCAGGCGTATATACCCGCAATCTCCACCAGCAGCAGGTTCATCCACATCCGGGGTTTCTGGGACTCTCCAGACTTCTCAGTCGACCCCGGACAGCACACGCTCCACGAGCTCTTCCTCGCGCCACGAGGCTAGGAAGAGATTCTTCTCAAACTACGAGGACTCATTTGGGGGCTCGACAGCAATGCCCCCTATGTCTCACCAAGAAAAGGGTTCCGCGCCCTCTGTATTTTCTCCATCGACAGACGCGTCCGTGAAAACACATGTGCTCGATGACTTACCATCTAAGCCTCCAGAGAATGGCAGAAAGCAGTCTTCAGGTAGTGGTAGGGGGAATTCTTCAGAGAAGTCGTCTACACCAGTTAACGAAAGTTTAGTCAAGCAGACCACTGCGAGACCCGTTGGATCTAGCCGTAGCGACCGAGAGAGTGGGCCCGTCGCCCCCACCGAGAAGTCCCACCGGAGAACAGAACGCCGCAGTGCCTTTAGGGCAGAGAACCAGGGCAGCGCCAACTCGAGCCTCCAGAAGACAGCCTTCACCAAGTCCACCAAGAGGAAAGAAACAGGGGCTGAGTCCGGGAATAAGTCCGGCCCGGTGTATGTCAGTTATGTTCAGAGAGTGGTCACCGAGATTATAGAGTCAGAGCGGATATACATCGGCAGCCTGGAGGATATCATAAACGTGAGTAGCATGTTAGGGGTTTAAGAATAGCATGTTAGGGGTTCAAACGTAGCATTTTAAGGGTTTCAAGAGTGGCATTTTAGGGATTCAAGAGTAGCATGTGAGGGGTTTCAAGAGTAGCATGTGAGGGGTTCCAGAGTAGCATGTGAGGGGTTCAAGAGTAGCATTTGAGGGGTTCAAGAGTAGCATGTGAGGGGTTCAAGAGTAGCATGTGAGGGGTTCAAGACTACCATGTGAGGGGTTCAAGACTACCATGTGAGGGGTTCAAGAGTAGCATGTGAGGGGTTCAAGATTAGCATGTGAGGGGTTCAAGAGTAGCATGTGAGGGGTTTCAAGAGAAGTATGTGAGGGGTTTCAAGAGTAGCATGTGAGGGGTTTCAAGAGTAGCATGTGAGGTAGTAGCATGTGAGGGGTTCAAGATTAGCATGTGAGGGGTTCAAGAGTAGCATGTGAGGGGTTTCAAGAGAAGTATGTGAGGGGTTTCAAGAGTAGCATGTGAGGGGTTTCAAGAGTAGCATGTGAGGGGTTCAAAAGTAGCATGTGAGAGTTCAAGAGTAGCATGTGAGGGGTTCAAGAGTAGCATGTGAGGGATTTCAAGAGTAGCATGTGAGGGGTTCAAGAGTAGCATGAGAGGGGTTCAAGAGTAGCGTGTGAGGGGTTTCAAGAGTAACATGTGAGGGGTTCAAGAGTAGCATGTGAGGGGTGCAAGAGTAGCATGTGAGGGGTTCAAGAGTGGCATGTGAGTTGTGATATTATAGCAAAACAAAACATACCCATTTATATGGTACATAACATACGTTTTAGGAAATTTGATAGAACTTTTCATACTTTTGGGCTTATAACATAACGTAATACGCCTTCATGTAGGACATATAATATAACATAACACACCTTCATGTAGGACATATAATATAACATAACACACCTTCATGTAGGACATATAATATAACATAACACACCTTCATTAGGACATATAATATAACATAACACACCTTAATGTAGGACATATATAACATAACACACCTTCATCAGGACATATTATATAACAACACACCTTCATGTAGGACATATAATATAACAACACACCTTCATGTAGGACATATAATATAACATAAAACACCTTCATGTAGGACAATTAACATAAAGTAACACACCTTCATATAGGACAATTAACATAACGTAACACACCTTCATGTAGGACAATTAACATAAAGTAACACACCTTCATGTAAGACAATTAACATAAAGTAACACACCTTCATGTAGGACAATTAACATAAAGTAACACACCTTCATGTAGGACAATTAACATAAAGTAACACACCTTCATGTAGGACAATTAACATAAAGTAACACACCTTCATGTAGGACAATTAACATAAAGTAACACACCTTCATGTAGGACAATGGTAAATGAAATGACCGTTTGTCCACTGGTCAATGTGACGTCCTTCGCCCATCATTACAGTTCAACAAGATCACATTGTAGTGATTCACTTCAGCCTCTTCTTACCACCACCACCACCCTTCCCCCGAACCGTCCTTATTTTAATCTGTAATCAAAATGCTATAATCCATACTATATCAACTGTTCAAGCCCAGTTTTAAGAAATAGTAACCCACCTTCAACCCGTGGCGTCGGAGGAGTATGCGGAGAGGGTGGTTCGCCCCGGGCACCATTTCTATTCTTTATACTTTATACGGAGGGGCGGAATTTTCGGACTACTGCAGAGTTTGGTTATTGCTTTTTTTTCGTGAAAGAAGGGCGGCACAAATACTGGTCCTCCCCCGGGTGGCACAAATACTGGTCCTCCCCCGGGTGGCACTTACCCTTGCAAAAAAGCTGACTACACATCTTTCCTATTGTTATCTACCCTTGCATTCAGTGTCTTTCCTATTGTTATCTATCCTTGCATTCAGTGTCTTTCCTATTGTTATCTACCCTTGCATTTAATGTCTTTCCTATTGTTATCTACCCTTGCATTCAGTGTCTTTCCTATTGTTATCTCCCCTTGCATTCAGTGTCTTTCCTATTGTTATCTACCCTTGCATTTAATGTCTTTCCTATTGTTATCTACCCTTGCATTCAGTGTCTTTCCTATTGTTATCTCCCCTTGCATTCAGTGTCTTTCCTATTGTTATCTACCCTCGCATTCAGTGTCTTTCCTATTGTTATCTACCCTCGAATTCCGTGTCTTTCCTATTGTTATCTACCCTTGCATTCAGTGTCTTTCCTATTGTTATCTACCCTTGCATTCAGTGTCTTTCCTATTGTTATCTACCCTCGAATTCCGTGTCTTTCCTATTGTTATCTACCCTTGCATTCCGTGTCTTTCCTATTGTTATCTACCCTTGCATTCAGTGTCTTTCCTATTGTTATCTACCCTTGCATTCAGTGTCTTTCCTTCAGTTCCTTTCCTTTTGTTAACTACCCTTGCCTTAAGTGTCTTTCCTATTGTTATCTACCCTTGCATTCAGTGTCTTTCCTATTGTTATCTACCCTTGCATTCAGTGTCTTTCCTTCAGTTCCTTTCCTTTTGTTAACTACCCTTGCCTTAAGTGTCTTTCTTATTGGTATTTACCCTTGCATTCAGTGTCTTTCCTATTGTTATCTACCCTTGCATTCAGTGTCTTTCCTTCAGTTCCTTTCCTTTTGTTAACTACCCTTGCATTAAGTGTCTTTCCTATTGTTATCTACCGTTGCATTCAGTGTCTTTCCTATTGTTATCTACCCTTGCATTCAGTGTCTTTCCTTCAGTTCCTTTCCTTTTGTTAACTACCCTTGCATTCAGTGTCTTTCCTATTGTTATCTACCCTTGAATTCATTGTCTACGCCTTCTTTATCTTCCTCTTAACTATTATTATATCTCTGCATTAAGCGTCTGTACCAACTTTTTCTTGCATACAACGTCTCCTCTAATGGGTCTTCTACCCATCTACTCAGTCTTCTCATGTTAATGGTCTGGTTTCTCCCTTGGTAATGGTCTGGTTTGTCCCTTGGTAATGGTCTGGTTTCTCCCTTGGTAATGGTCTGGTTTGTCCCTTAGTAATGGTCTGGTTTCTCCCTTAGTAATGGTCTGGTTTCTCCCTTAGTAATGGTCTGGTTTCTCCCTTGTTAATGGTCTGGTTTGTCTCTTGGTAATGGTCTGGTTTCTCCCTTGGTGATGGTCTGGTTTGTCCCTTGGTAATGGTCTGGTTTCTCCCTTGGTAATGGTCTGGTTTGTCCCTTGGTAATGGTCTGGTTTCTCCCTTGGTAATGGTCTGGTTTGTCCCTTGGTAATGGTCTGGTTTCTCCCTTGGTAATGGTCTGGTTTGTCCCTTAGTAATGGTCTAGTTTCTCCCTTAGTAATGGTCTGGTTTCTCCCTTAGTAATGGTCTGGTTTCTCCCTTGTTAATGGTCTGGTTTGTCTCTTGGTAATGGTCTGGTTTCTCCCTTGGTGATGGTCTGGTTTGTCCCTTGGTAATGGTCTGGTTTCTCCCTTAGTAATGGTCTGGTTTCTCCCTTGTTAATGGTCTGGTTTGTCTCTTGGTAATGGTCTGGTTTCTCCCTTGGTGATGGTCTGGTTTGTCCCTTGGTAATGGTCTGGTTTCTCCCTTGTTAATGGTCTGGTTTGTCCCTTGGTAATGGTCTTGTTTGTCCCTTAGTAGTGGTCTAGTTTATCCCTTAGTAATGGTCTGGTTTGTCCCTTAGTAATGGTCTGGTTTGTCTCTTGGTAAGGGTCTGGTTTGTCCCTTAGTAATGGTCTGGTTTGTCCCTTAGTAATGGTCTGGTTTGTCCCTTGGTAATGGTCTGGTTTGTCCCTTGGTGATGGTCTGGTTTCTCCCTTTTTACACGTAGGCTTTTCGTTTCGACCTCGAACTGGAGAACTGAATAACTTCCCTTTACTTTCATCCAACCTGCCCCGCCCTCCGCTTGTTGGTTAGACCGTGTCCTTGGGATAGGGCCTCCTGTCTTGTAAGATGTCTTCCATATCACTTAAGATCCCACCTTCTGACGTGTGAAACCCCCTCCTCCCCCCACCCTCACTGCCCCCGAACCCAACGGGATCCCACCTCATCGACCTTGTGAACTTGATGACCTGCATGGAGTTATTCCCCATTGTGCGCTCACAAACCAGTGTAATCTTGTAGAAGGACGCGAAACGTGTCTCTCACGAGGTCATATGTCAGGACAAGGCAAATCACGTGTCTCTCACGTGGTCATATGTCAGGACAAGGCAAATCACGTGTCTCTCACGTGGTCGTATGTCAGGACAAGGTAACACACGATTGACAGCACGCTGCAGCCGTGACGGACAACGGCGTCGGTCAGTCAGGTCGATTGTGCCGCCACAAGACATTCGGAAATGATACATGTGTCTCACAGCGTATCTTTTTTTTTTTTCATTGTTATGACAATAGTAACATGGAAGACTTATTATGAAGACATTGCTACCATGGAAGACTTATTATGAAGACATTGGTAACATGGACGACTTATTATGAAGACATTGGTAACATGGACGACTTATTATGAAGACATTGCTACCATGGAAGACTTATTATGAAGACATTGGTAACATGGACGACTTATTATGAAGACATTGCTACCATGGAAGACTTATTATGAAGACATTGGTAACATGGACGACTTATTATGAAGACATTGCTACCATGGAAGACTTATTATGAAGACATTGGTAACATGGACGACTTATTATGAAGACATTGCTACCATGGAAGACTTATTGTGAAGACAATGGTATCGTGGTAGAACTCGTACTCGTCGGCTGGTCCGAATCACCGCTGAATCTCGCGCTCACCTTTCGCCGGTGCGATGCAGTGAGGTAAAACCTGCGACCGATCCAGCATGGCGATAGGGCTTGGCTTTATACAAGAAGAAGACCTCTGGATGACCTTAACTCCAAGCCTTACAATAAATAGAGAACGTCCTATGTATATCTAGCCGTGAGCGCATTGTTTTATCTCTCTCTCTCTCTCCCTCTCTCTCTCTCTCTCTCTCTCTCTCTCTCTCTCTCTCTCTCTCTCTCTCTTAAACGGCAGGGGTGACTGCGATCTTTCCTTCCTCCCGACCCCACCCCAAATTGTCGAAGGATCTGAAAAATAAAAATCAGCAGCCTACTCTGTAATGATTGTTTCCATTACCGAATGATCTCAGAATAGAATCGGCTTCTCGCTGTTTTATGTCCCATGTCAAGGGTTCTCAATATAGACCCAGCAGCCATTAATTTGTATTCTCAACAAAAAACAAAAATTAAACCAAACGATTCTCAATACGCAAGACAGTGGAGTCGGAGCAAATACCTATTAAACCTGACAGCTCTTACGGGCTAACGGTTCTCACTTTGACGTCATTGGATGTGGATTTTCCCGATGAAAGAATTGTACGTAAACAATTTTTAGTCGGAGCAACGTAACGACACACACACATACACGTTTTGAAATCATCTCTATTAATTTCTTTTTTCGTCGTGGCTGGCAAAAGCTTCGGAAGGCTAATTAACCTACTTCCTGTCAACCTATCGAGCTGAAACTTGGCACAGACTCCTTAACGATGACAAGACATTCCTTTAAATGTTTAGCCCCACCCCAACATCACTTTTTTCCTGTTTTTTAAATAATAGATGAAGGAAATATGATACCACTGATTTCATGAAATAAAATTCCCCCCATAGCTGCGCTAAAAAAAAAAATTCACCAGTGAGTTGGTAATATTTTCTTTTGTTGGTGGTTGGGGGGGGGGGAGGGGGGTTGCCATGACATTAGAATATTGCTATGAAATAAATCTTTAAAAAATGCATGTCAAGGATCTATACGGAAAACACAGTTTTGATAGTTTTTTTTTTAAATTTCGCATCAAACTTCTTGGATTAACTGAGATGGAAAGTGGAGGTACACCACCACGACTGCACTGTTGTAGAGCGCACTCCTGTTGAACGGAAGGTATGTTGCACTTTTTGTGCCACTGTTGCCACTGAAAAACGTGTGTTTCCTGTTTGAAATTTCACGACTTATATTTTCATATCGAGGCTCGACCTATGTTTGAAATTTCACGACCTATATTTTCATATCGAGGCTCCACCTATGTTTGAAATTTCACGACTTATATTTTCATATCGAGGCTCGACCTATGTTTGAAATTTCACGACCTATATTTTCATATCGAGGCTCCACCTATGTTTGAAATTTCACGACTTATATTTTCATATCGAGGCTCGACCTATGTTTGAAATTTCACGACCTATATTTTCATATCGAGGCTCCACCTATGTTTGAAATTTCACGACTTATATTTTCATATCGAGGCTCGACCTATGTTTGAAATTTCACGACCTATATTTTCATATCGAGGCTCCACCTATGTTTGAAATTTCACGACTTATATTTTCATATCGAGGCTCGACCTATGTTTGAAATTTCACGACCTATATTTTCATATCGAGGCTCCACCTATGTTTGAAATTTCACGACTTATATTTTCATATCGAGGCTCGACCTATGTTTGAAATTTCACGACCTATATTTTCATATCGAGGCTCCACCTATGTTTGAAATTTCACGACTTATATTTTCATATCGAGGCTCGACCTATGTTTGAAATTTCACGACTTATATTTTCATATCGAGGCACACACCTATGTTTGAAATTTCACGACTTATATTTTCATATCGAGGCTCGACCTATGTTTGAAATTTCACGACCTATATTTTCATATCGAGGCTCCACCTATGTTTGAAATTTCACGACTTATATTTTCATATCGAGGCTCCCACCTATGTTTGAAATTTCACGACTTATATTTTCATATCGAGGCTCCCACCTATGTTTGAAATTTCACGACTTATATTTTTATATGGAGGCTCCACCTAATTTCGATAGGCCAAAAGGTTCTCCTGAGTGAAACCACACGGAACATATTTTTATTTTTGTATTAGCTCTAGGGCCCTTTGCAAACATGGGTTTTTAGCCACGTTTGGTGTACGTTTTAGAACCACTGTCAAACGAATGTTTGTTCAACACACGCACCTACGTCGATTGCCCTTGTGTGTTAAGAAGCAAATCGGTATACCAACAAACACACGTCCGGTCTTTTCAGTGGAACTATTGGGTACTGGTTTTTTCACTACCATGAAGACCCGCAGGACGCATTGGTTTGAACCCACCTCTCATGTGATTCGAGAGTTGTGTGAGAGGGGGGGGGGGTCTAGCGGGGCGTGGGGGTTCTGGTACACGCTTATGGGGATAATGAAATTTGTACATATTTGCTCCATCGCCCCTACCTCGACATTATATGGCACCCACACTAAAATATAACTGTGCCTCATGTACCTCCAATAATTTGGTAGGTTTCTCTAGATCCGCCTCTGCTTAAGCCAGCGGTTCTCAACCTGTGGGTCGCGACCCCTTTGGGGGTCGAATGACCCTTTCCCAGGGGGTCGCCTAAGACCACCGGAAAACACGCTACAGATATGATGTGGCAACGTAAATAATTTTATGGTTGGGGGTCGCCACAACACGAGTCGCTGTACTAAAGAGTCGCGGCATTAGGAAGGTTGAGAACCACTGGCTCAAAGCATTCTCAGAGCCCGTGTGGGACGGTACACAACAAATGGTCAAAGTCTTGTCTTCATCTCACGGCGCTCTGTATGACTGCCGAGTGAGTCATGACCTGGCGGTGGAAGGTCGAACAAGATAACCATTGTGTACCCTTGACGGAATGTGAGAGCACGGGCGGATGCAAGGAGGGTGTAGGCAACTGAGGGCGTATCTCCGTTCATATTTATATTTTAATTAAAAGAAACAACTAATATATCGGTCTATAAAGTGGCGCCGTAAATGCCCCATTCAACACCCCATTCAACACCCCATTCGACACCCCATTCGACACTCCATTCAACACCCCGTTCAACACCCCATTCAACACCCCATTCGACTTCCCATTCAACACCCCATTCGACTTCCCATTCAACACCCCATTCAACACCCCATTCAACACCCCATTCGACACCCCATTCGACACTCCATTCAACACCCCATTCAACCAGCCACTCAACACCCCATTCGACACCCCATTCGACACCCCATTCGGCACCCCATTCGACGAACAACGCATGACTCTAACCCACATGATCAAACTTTTTTTCACTAGTATCCCCATCTGTTCATGACAGAATCTATAATTTATTTTCCAATAGCACTTTTCTGTGCTTTTCTGCGACACCAAATCTGTTGCGCAGAACGATCTGATCCTACAACGAAATGGTTATGTACTCATTAGGGACTCATTTGGGGACTCATTGGGGACCCATTGGGGACTCATTAGGGACCCATTGGGGACCGGTGTGGAGCGGATTAAGTTCGTAGTGAAGTGTCCTGGTTATACGAATACGGACCCTTTTGGTTTTTTTTCTTTGGTTGTGGAGGGGGGTGAAAAGGGGGGAGGGGGTGAAGGTCAGTACCCGGCTCAGCCCCAGAATACACATCTATAACTATCAGATGTCTTATGGTATCACCCTCCCGTCATAAATCTTACCATTCCGCTTATGGCGTGCGAGTCATAGGTATAGAGACCACACCTGGGGCAAGGGAGGCATAAGGGACCACACCTGGGATAAGGGAGTTCCATGTTTTCAGCTTCATTGCTAAAAGGGTCGGAGGGGGGGCTGAGGTATATGCCATTCTTTTGTGGGGGACAGCGAAGGATTTAGGGATTGGGGCACTCGAGTGCGTTTTCTCTAGGACTGTAGAGATAGCTATGGCGATACTGTGAAGGACTGTAGAGATAGCTATGGCGATACTGTGAAGGACTGTAGAGAAAGCTATGGCGATACTGTGAAGGACTGTAGAGATAGAAATGGCGATACTATGAAGGACTATAGAGATAGATATGGCGATACTGTGAAGGACTGTAGAGATAGATATGGCGATACTGTGAAGGACTGTAGAGATAGATATGGCGATACTGTGAAAGACTGTAGAGATAGATATGGCGATACTGTGAAAGACTGTAGAGATAGATATGGCGATACTGTGAAGGACTGTAGAGATAGATATGGCGATACTGTGAAGGACTGTAGAGATAGATATGGCGATACTATGAAGGCCGGTTTAGATAGATAGAGCTATAGTATGACGGACTGTTGAAATAGATTGTCTATACTATGAGGGACTGTTGAAATAGATTGTCTATACTAAAAGGCCTGTTTAAATAGATATGGCTATCCTATGAAGGGCTGTTGAAATAAATATATATCTATACTATAAAAGCCCGTTGAAATAGATAGGGCTCTACCATGAAGTCCTGTATGAAATAGATATGGCTGTACTATGACACATACAAGCAAATAGTTACTAAAAAGGAAATGTATCTGGCCCTGTACGTTTGACCTAGTTCCACCCCTCCCCACTAGCTCATCTCCCCACTCGTTCATCTCCCCACTCGTTCGTCTCCCCACTAGTTCATCTCCCCACTAGTTCATCTCCCCACTAGTTCATCTCCCCATTAGTTCATCTCCCCACTAGTTCATTACCCCACTAGTTCATCTCCCCATTAGTTCATCTCCCCACTAGTTCATCTCCCCACTAGTTCATTTCCCCACTAGTTCATCTCCCCTCTAGTTCATCTCCCCACTAGTTCATCACCCCACTAGTTTATCTCCCCATTAGTTCATCTCCCCACTAGTTCATCTCCCCATCAGTTCATCTCCCCATTAGTTCATTTCCCCACTAGTTCATTTCCCCACTAGTTCATCTCCCCATTAGTTCATTTCCCCATTAGTTAATCTCCCGAATGGTTCATTTCCCCACTGGTTCATTTCCCCACTGATGCATCTCCCCATTAGTTCATTTTCCCATTAGTTCATTTCCCCATTAGTTCATTTCCCCATTAGTTCATCTCCCCACTAGTTCATTTCCCCACTAGTTCATCTCCTCATTAGTTCATCTCCCCATTATTTCATCTCCCCATTAGTTCATCTCCCCATTAGTTCATCTCCTCCCCACTAGTTCATCTCCCGAAAGGTTCATCTCCCCACTATTTCATTTCCCCATTAGGTCATTTCCCCACTAGTTCATCTCCCCATTAGTTCATTTCCCCACTATTTCATTTCCCCACTAGTTCATCTTCCCATTAGTTCATCTCCCCATTAGTTCATCTCCCCACTAGTTCATCTCCCCATTAGTTCATCTCCCCACTAGTTCATCTCCCGAATGGTTCATTTCCCCACTGGTTCATCTCCCCACTGATGCATCACCCTACTAGTTCATCTCCCCATTTGTTCATCTCCAGAATGGTTCATCTCCCCACTGGTTCATCTCCCCACTGGTTCATCTCCCCACTAGTTCATCTCCCCACTAGTTTATTTTCCCATTAGTACCCCCCACCCCCTCCCCTCCCCCACTTTCACCTACACCAGTCGAAGAACGATTATCTCTGTCCCACTACTCCATTGAAATGTCAGCTGATGAAATAGTCTTAGGAATGACGTCACACGGTCACATATTTTCATTTATTTTTTTTTAAAGGAAATTATGGCACCGGTGCTTCCTTCTTCGGCAGACATTGGACTCCTTCAAACCAGCACACACTTTAACATCTCCACCCCCTACTCCACGCCACCCCCCCCCACAAACACATCCACACAGCTCCCCTAATCTCAACTGCTTGATCAACCAAGAATCTCTCTCCACAGGGCTACCTGACGCCGTTGGAACAGCTTCTCAACTCTGAGGACGCCAAGAAAGATGTGGAGTGTCTGTTCGGGAATATCCGCCAGATCTACCAGTTCGGGTGGTCAGTTCTCTTAGACATAAAACACGTTTACACTGTATTATTGTATTTCAATGTTTTGACAGTCAGAGCTCAAGCCTAAGATAAAGTTGGAGTTTCACATGATTTGCTATCTTGGGTGGAAATAACTCTGTATTTCTGGATAGCAAATATCAGACCCAGTCCAAAACAAAACAAAAAAAAAAAAAAAATTCCGAAAGGAATGATAAAAACATAAATTAAAATTTGATAATTTAAAAAGAATTATTTCTGGATAGAAAATATCAGACCCAGTCCAAAAAAAAAAAAAAAAAAAAAAAAATTCCGAAAGGAATGATAAAAACATAAATTAAAATTTGATAATTTAAAAAGAAAGGGTAATGTTGATACTTTTCCGTGCCAATGAAATCATTTAAAGCTGATAAAGATGCAGCGGCGTAGGAAGGAGGGGGTCGGGGCGCCCATGGTGGTGCTTTTTTCTTTAAATTTGAGGGGGCCATTTTCGTTTGGTTTCTTTTTTTTTTAGTGGTAGGGGATCAAAATAATTTTCGTCTTGCTCTGGCGTGACTGTCTCCACCCTAACTACTTTGATTTAAAGCTTTGTTCAATTGGCTTTAGCTTTGAGCCTTGAGCCAGATGACGTGAGGTAACCTTTATGTTCTTCATCTCCCCCCCAGCATTTTTCTGACGGACCTGGAGTCGACGGGGGCTGATCCGGTCAAGGTCGCCGAATGTTTTGTCAAGCACAACAAGGGCTTCGTCATCTACGCCGACTACTGTACCAACTACCCCAGGTATGTTTGTTGTACCAACCACCCTAGGTTCGTCTGTTGTACCAACCACCACAGGTATGTCTATTTTACCAACCACCATAGGTATGTCTATTGTACCAACCAACATAGGTATGTCTGTTGTACCAACCACCCTAGGTTCGTCTGTTGTACCAACCACCACAGGTATGTCTATTGTACCAACCACCCTAGGTTCGTCTGTTGTACCAACCACCACAGGTATGTCTATTGTACCAACCACCCTAGGTTTGTCTGTTGTACCAACCACCACAGGTATGTCTATTGCACCAACCACCACAGGTGTGTCTATTGTACCAACCACCACAGGTATGTCTATTGTACCAACCACCCTAGGTTCGTCTGTTGTACCAACCACCACAGGTATGTATATTGTACCAACCACCACAGGTATGTCTGTTGCACGAACCACCCCAGGCATGTCTGTTGTACCAATCACCACAGGTACATCTGTTGTACCAACTACCCCAGTTATGTCCATTGTACCAACCACCCCAAGGTATGTATGTTGTACCAACCACCACAGGTATTTCTTTGTACCAGCTACCCAGGTATGCCTGTTGTACTAACATCCAAGGTATTTCTATTGTATCTACCATCCCAGGTATGTATGTCGTGTCATTCGAACCCATGGGGTATTTCTTTTGTAACAACTAAGTCTCCAACAAATAAGAAATGCTTGTCTAATATACCAACTACCCCAGGTATGTCAACTGTACCAACATTAGGGAGGTCTGTCTATCATACAACTACCCCGGGTATGTCTGTCGTACCAAAATACCCAAGGGCACATGATCCGCTGGAACAACCTGGAAATCTCGGGGAAGGTGGAATACAATGCACCCATTAATTGTCCATGCTTGTTTGTTATTTACATTCACCTCCCTGAATTTGTCTTGAGTTTAGAATTGCACTGAAGATCAATCAGCTCCATTTGAAGCGCAATATATATATATATAAATGTGTGTATGTGTGGGGAAAAGGGGGGGGGGCATCTTCCACATTGAAGGAGAAAGAATCAACAATAATTTTTTTTAAAGTGACTCTGTGTTTTGAAGTCTGCAAGCATGTGTTAAAATTTTTCCTGTAGCTTTGCAATGGCATCAGTACACTTGCTACTGAATGGTGTGCCCGAGTCCATGAGCACTTTTGCATGTTGGTAAATGGCAGAGGTTTCTCTGAGAACCATAACACAAGTTTTGCGCGGAATGCCCCGACATTGTCGTAGGCAACACTGACAAGCTACCCCTGGTCTTGTAACTTCTTGTCGAGTACATTCAGCTCCAGTGGATTGTCAACAAGAAAAGCCATGTCCATGAGCTGTTTGGGATCACTTCGTACAGGAACAACCACCCCACCCTTCTCCATTAGGGCTTAAACCATGGGCAGGAGCAGGGCATTTTTATGAATTATTGATTCGAAGGAAGAACCTAATTGTAGGGAGAATGAATTTTCATGTTTTAACGTAGAAAAGATCTTTTTGACCAACCCTAATTGGAAAGTGGCCAAGCTGACAGGCTCGGAATTTCCCTAACTCGTAAACACTAGTGGCAAATTTAATAGGGATTATTTGATAATGTATCAGATTATTCCGATGTACACAATTATGCTTGTGCAATTCCCAATTTTAAAAACTTTACTCATAACCTCAATCGTGCCATGTTTGTCTCATAAAATGCTATAAAATAAAAACTTTTAGTCCAGTTTTAAAACGGTTCTTACCATTATAATCAACATACAAATATAAAAAAAAAAAACATAATAAAAATCAGAATGAGACTAGTCGGTGAGACTCGACTGAAACCGTCGCGGAGGGTCACGTTCTAGATAGAATGGGGGGAATGAGCGGGCCGCATCAACACTGAACTTTGCTGTCATGTAGCGGGCCGCAAATATCGTCTAGCGAGTCGCAAATGGCCCGCGGGCCGCGACTTTGAGACCCCTGTCTTATATCAAGTGATCTACCCTTGAGTAGTGTTCCACTATTTAAGCTGGAATACCAACAGAACATAAAAATAAGGGAAATTAAAAAAAAAATTTAAAAAATTTTGGGTTGAAATTCCATACCCAAATAAAAACAAGTAAATTGAACAAAAGCTAATGAGTCTTTTCCAGGCGGGTTTGGTGCAAGGAAACCAGCCACACACTAAGCAATATTGAGATAGATATGTGTGTATGTGTGTGAGTCGTACGCCAAATACTTAGTGTTTGACCGTGTCAATGAGTGTGAACCAATCAGATGTTCAAAGTTCAAAGTGTGGGATCAATGGTCAAAGCGTGTGATCAAAGGCTATTGCTTGGGATCAAAGGTCAATGCTTGCGATCAATGGTCAAAGCGTGTGATTAAAGTTCAAAAGTTGGGGTCAAAGTTCAAAGCGCGGGATCAAAGCTCAAAGCGTGGGATCAAAACTCAAAGCGACGGAAAACAAATTTTACCCGTCGTTGCTAGAGACACCAAGAAGGTGACTTGTCACGTGACCCAACACCTTGTAACGGACACATGTGCTGTGCTATATGACGTCAAACCTTTGGACAGTTAGTCATTTAGCCAATCAGCGCCCCTTTAGTTTCACGTCGATGCGTGATTTTCATCATCTTGAAGGAATTCTTTTGCCGCGGCACACCTAGCGTCGTCTCGCGGCACACCAGTTGCGGAGCTCTGGTCTATTTCATTGTTATACTAGCAACCACCAACCTTGTTGAGATCCTCGCTACAGAATCTGACTAATCAAATACCCGAAAACCCACTTATATCGACTGTAGTTTCTGTTCTCAAGCATTGTATTGTTTGTTATTCACTTCCTCCTACACCCTTCGTGTGAATAGCGTGGCCTTATTGGAAGGTGTGGCCTTATTGGAAGGTGTGGCTTTATTGGGGAGGGTGGCTTTATTGGGGAGGCGTGGCTTTATTGGGAAGGCGTGGCTTTATTGGGGAGGTCCGTCTTTAGTGGGGAGGCGTGGGCGTGGCTTTATTTGGGAGGGGTGGCTTTATTGGGGAGGCGTGGCTTTATTGGGGAGGCGTGGCTTTATTGGGGAGGTCCGTCTTTAGTGGGGAGGCGTGGGCGTGGATTTATTTGGGAGGGGTGGCTTTATTGGGGAGGGTGGCTTTATTGGGGAGGGTGGCTTTATTGGGGAGGGTGGCTTTATTGGGGAGGGTGGCTTTATTGGGGAGGGTGGCTTTATTGGGGAGGGTGGCTTTATTGGGGAGGGTGGCTTTATTGGGGAGGGTGGCTTTATTGGGGAGGGTGGCTTTATTGGGGAGGGTGGCTTTATTGGGGAGGGTGGCTTTATTGGGGAGGGTGGCTTTATTGGGGAGGGTGGCTTTATTGGGGAGGGTGGCTTTATTGGGGAGGGTGGCTTTATTGGGGAGGATGGCTTTATTGGGGAGGGTGGCTTTATTGGGGAGGGTGGCTTTATTGGGGAGGGTGGCTTTATTGGGGAGGATGGCTTTATTGGGGAGGGTGGCTTTATTGGGGAGGGTGGCTTTATTGGGGAGGGTGGCTTTATTGGGGAGGATGGCTTTATTGGGGAGGGTGGCTTTATTGGGGAGGGTGGCTTTATTGGGGAGGGTGGCTTTATTGGGGAGGATGGCTTTATTGGGGAGGGTGGCTTTATTGGGGAGGGTGGCTTTATTGGGGAGGATGGCTTTATTGGGGAGGATGGCTTTATTGGGGAGGGTGGCTTTATTGGGGAGGATGGCTTTATTGGGGAGGATGGCTTTATTGGGGAGTGTGGCTTTATTGGGGAGGGTGGCTTTATTGGGGAGGTGTGGCTTTATTGGGGAGGATGGCTTTATTGGGGAGGGTGGCTTTATTGGGGAGGATGGCTTTATTGGGGAGGATGGCTTTATTGGGGAGGATGGCTTTATTGGGGAGGGTGGCTTTATTGGGGAGGATGGCTTTATTGGGGAGGTGTGGCTTTATTGGGGAGGTGTGGCTTTATTGGGGAGGATGGCTTTATTGGGGAGGTGTGGCTTTATCATGAATATACAGTATTCCCTATCATTAAGATACAGCATTCCCTATCATTAAAATACAGTATTCCCTATCATTAAAATACAGTATTCCCTATCATTAAAATACAGTATTCCCTATCATAATTGAAATACAGTATTCCCTATCATGAAAATACAGTATTCCCTATCATGAAAATACAGTATTCCCTATCATGAAAATACAGCATTCCCTATAATTAAAGTACAGTATTCCCTATCATTAAAATACAGCATTCCCTATTATTAAAACCCAGTATTCCTCTATCATCAAAATCCTGTATTCCCTATCACCAAAAGCCAATACTTCTCCTTTTATCAGCATAAAATCAATCAGGTTACTTTCCCCATTTTTAAAGTCAAATATTACATTTTTTTTAAAACTTGTTTTATTTTCCCAAGAGTCGGAGCCATTTTTTCATGAAACCAACTCACGGTTTTAAAATTTAAAAAAATATCAACTTTAAACGCTTCGTAATATGGCCTTCAGAATAGAAGGCTGTCTTTGATTGGCTCATAATCACTTGCTTGTGACTTGACCTAATCAATCACTTAGACGAGTCAATGGAGGGATAAGTGAGAAGGGATTAAGAGGGATTTTAACGCCTTGATGAAAATGTAACGACGACGAGCTGAAATTCTCTCCCCTCCCCCCCCCCCCCCCACCGGTGAACAAACGAGTATAGGGGGGTTTTTTTTTTCTCCCTGGAAGGAAACCCATGTTAAGCTTACATTTACATAACTATGGTCATTTGTACCGACCTTGACCTAGTGTGACTGTTATACCACTGATCAAACAAGTTTGTAATCAGCCTGGTTTGACGTCCATATTTATCATGACCTCGAGATTTTTTTGTTTTGTTAAAAAATGAATACAAGACATTTTTTTTTAAAAGACGGAGATACAACTAAAACGATAACAAGGATAACCATTGATATCACATTAAAGTGTATTCAATTCTGCACACTTATGTGTGTTTATTTTTAATATTGGTATTGGTTTAATAGTTCTTGAGCTGTGATTTCTGGATGTTTCTTTCAGAATTTACCACACACACAAAAATACATAGAAATAAACAACCCCAAAAATTATTTCACTTTTTCATGACTTAATTATTTTTAATTTAAAGCAACGATGACCTCCCCAATAATTGTTTAATACAATGATCAGTCCCTTTGAACCTTGTGGCCTGTGGCTTCCATTGAAATAAACAAAACATTTTTGTGAATATAAAAATTGTCATATTTGTTTATAATTTCTTTATACAATGCCAAGTCATAACAAATATTCAGGATATTCAAAGAAGCGAAATTTTCATGGAAATAGATATTATACTAAGAATAATATTGGACCCAATGAGGATATTTCAAATGTAAATAATTGAAACAGTGACGGTTTCCATTATTCATTTCATTGTTCATTATTATTGAAGATGAAATACACTTCTCTAAAATACCAAAGTGTATTGGTCTTGACACACCCAATGCCAAGCCCACTTAGAACATTGAAAGGCATTCAGGTTAAAGTGAAGGTTAAGCCAATTTTAATTTTAATGTTTGTCATAGCAGAAATCACAAAAATAAAATTTAAAAAATGAAATCCTTAGAAGCAAGAAGAGCCAGCAGAAGGCTGAAAGTAGGGTTAGAAGAGTCAAAAGTTGAAGCTAAAAGACATCCTTATCTTTCAGGGGTCATTAAGATTAGAGAATTTCTTTTTTTTTTTTTTGTTAACAAAATTATTGAGTGCATTTTTTGCAACATTTCAAAAATGAGTTCACATAATTAATGATAACTTGTTAAAATATCAACCAATTTTTAAAAATTGTGCATGCTGTTATATTTTATAATTGAAAAATTGTCTATGGCATGAACTAAACATATTGATATTACAATTTATTAATAAGTACAGATTTTACAATCTCTAAAAGTTTAAATTTAAAATGTCAAAATTAAGAAATATTTCAAATGCTGTGTTACAAAAAGTATTCAATATATTAACATTTTTTAGTCCTAGCTATGGCTAATCCACATTTCTATGTGGTTAATAGAGTATAATAAATTTGAGCTTAAATGAAAATTCCTAAAATAATTTTTTTGTCATACCTGCCAATTTTAAGGCAGGAAATTATTACGTATCTCTTTTTTTGAGGGCAATTTTATGTGTTATTTTGGTAGTTTGACTATTCATCTAGCTTCAGTGAAAATTGGACATTTGCAGCTTTAATAGTTTTTAGGGGGAATTTTTTAGTAGTCGCCCTATGTTCTGGGTGTACCTCCCTCCTTTAAACACATGACTCAGTGTTTAACAAATAGAAATGTTCATCCTGCTCCCAACCCAAACTTTAGGAATAAAAACCTTTTAACAGAAAAAAAAACAAACTTAACTTTGATTAATTGACTTTTGATGAGCCCCCCCCTTTTTTTATATATATAAACTTACTTTAAATATATAAAAAAACATTTTTTTCAAAAAATTAAATCAATAAATACGAAAAATGATTCAATTTTAATTGTTATTGATATTGGGCCTTTAGGGACCATTGCTAAGATGTCAATCTTTCTGTTGAAACTGCATCATCTTGACTTGGTCTATAATTACAAGTGTCTGTTTTTGTGATTTCACAGAGCCGTCCAGGTCTTGACCAAGTTCATGCAGCATCCTGAACTCAGCGAATTTTGCAAGGAAAGACAACTGGCGCTGAGTCATGGCCTCCCTTTGGGTGCCTATCTCCTTCGGCCTGTCCAGAGAATACTCAAATACCATCTGTTGCTTCAGGTACACCTTGGAGCTGTTCTCATTTTTATATATTTACCTTGGCTGCATTGAAAGGGGTCTTCTTATCTGCTTTATAGTCCATCTGGCCGGTCTTATGTAACTCATAAGGAAATGTAAAGCACCAGATGGGAAAGCCATTTCAGCCAACACCTTCTCATGTTACCATTACAGTGATTGTATTCTCCACTAATAGCTGGCTGAGGTCCTCCTGGCTTAGAACAAGATTGCTCCACAGGTTATGCATGCTGACCCCCCCCCCCCCCCCCAGTTTGATCAAACAATAGAAACATTCTTCAAAAGAGCATCAATCAAAACGGACTTCAGATTTTTTAAAACAATATTTCCTTAACCAAAGTTCTTACCTGTATTTTTTATGTTTCATTTAACTGTTATACTATAGCAGTGGGTTAGCTAGGGTTGGCGCCACCCAGGGTGGGCGAGAAATTTGCCACCCCTTTCACACAAAAAAGCTCTGCACTCTGAAAATGCTGCCCCTGCATATAATGAAAAAAGTGCCACCCATGGTGGACCACCCCCTCCACACCCCCCTTCCTACGCCACTGTACTGTTGTGCCAGATCATTTCTGCTGAGTTAGAGCTAATGCTATAATTCTTTTACAATTATATCCTTAATTTGTTTTTTGTTCACTTGACTCTTGTGATTCTTGTGTCTCTTGCACAGAATGGTTTTTGTCAATGACACATTTGTGTCGTTGTGTCGGCTGTCAAGTTATCACATACTTTGTCATACAGCTTGTTGTACAGCTTAATCACAGTATCTACGTATGATTACATAAAACAAGTACAATGATTTATAGAATCACAGAGGGCCAGTTGAGCTCTTAGAGCAACATTATAGGCTGAGCCAGACTGTCTGGCTTCAGATCATATATATCTTAAAAAATGTTATGGAACAATAATGATTTTTTTTATGTCAACCCTAGGTCAAGGTCTGTATTTGTTTATCTGCAAAAAGACAACATGTCTAACAATGTCTCGTACAATAGAGTTATAACACTTCTGACGATGTGTCATAAGACAGAGCTTTTGTCATAGAAACTTCAAAGCTTTGCAGCATTGACTTTTTTGTTAAGGAAGCTAACCGCAACTTTAAAATGCAGAGATTGTCGTTTAGTCATGGAACCGGTATTTAGGGACATGGCATCCGCATGCAGAAACACGATACCGTGACGTTCAGATGTGATAAAGAATGACATCTTTAAAGCTAACTAGAAGCTTAATTGTTCAGGGATGATCCTCTTCACCCCAAAACTTACAATGACATTTTGTTATATAATTAAAACTACATCACTAGAAGAGCCCAACTGACCCAATGCATGGAAGCGAAACCACTAAAAGACATTTTTTTAAATAATCATGTCTCCCAGACCAAAGGTCACACTGCTTAACCCTTGACCCGTGACTCTCTAAATCATTGTTGTTTTTTTTAAAATTTTATTCACTTGTTAAGATCTTTTCACTAAGTTTTTGAAATGATCTAGTTGACTGTTCACAGAACATTGTCAAGAGCTATGAGAAGGAAGGCAAGGACGTGACCATCTTGGAGCAGGCCTTCCATCACATGACACAGATGGCGCACCACATCAACGAAATGAAGAGGAAGCACGAGCACGCCGTCAGGGTGCAGGAGATTCAGAGCCAGCTGGAGGACTATGTGGGGGAGGACCTCACGAGGCTGGGGGACCTGGTCCTGGAGGTGAGCTTTCATAATGGGTTGGGGGGGTTGATGGTAGGATGTTATTAACATTCTGATAATTGTGTTGTAAGAGTGTTGTAAGAGCATTGTACAATGTGTTATAAGAGTGTTGTAAGAGTGTTGTACATTGTGTTATAAGAGTGTTGTAAGAGTGTTGTACATTGAGTTATAAGAGCATTGTACAATGTGTTATAAGAGTGTTGTATATTGTGCTATAAGAGTTTGTACACTGAGTTATAAGAGTGTTGTACATTGTGTTATAAGAGCATTGTACAATGTGTTATAAGAGTGTTGTACATTGTGCTATAAGAGTTTTGTACACTGTGTTATAAGAGTGTTGTACATTGTGCTATAAGAGTTTTGTACAGTGAGTTATAAGAGTCTTGTACATTGTGCTATAAGAGTGTTATACACTGTATTATAAGATTAGGGGTGTGCCGGAGTCCGGTCCGGAATCCGGTTCCGCCGGATTTTGCACTATCCGGTGAAATCCGGTTCCGCCGGATTTACATGTATCCGGAACAACCGGAATCCGGAATATACCGGATTTCGGAATTTGCCAGATTTTGTGACTCACCGGATCATAATCTGAAATAAAAGTAATTCTCTTTCCCGAATTCCACACGATCACGATACATTAATCGATTGTTTCGAGCGTTGAGCTTGTTTAATGTTTAATATTCCGTACATACCAGAGGCTAGAGTCAGCACCGCTAATAGTGGCCAATAGTGTAGGGACTTTGATAAGAAAATTTAAACTTTTTGTAAAAATAAACCAATGGCATAGTTGAAAAGATGTAATTTTTTAAAGAATTATAACACCAAAATCATATTTTTAGCTGTTGTAGTTTTAAAGTTATGAATTTTTAAAGTACGACTTGGTTTGTCATTTTTTAACATGGACTGCATCTCCACATTCTGTGATCTCATTCCACCAATCCCGTCATGCGCAATGACTATATAGTTTATATAAGGCAACGCATTCCCTGCCTTATCACTAAAATACTGTTTAGACTTAGTTTAAACTTTCAACTTTGGCACATGAATAATTAATTAAAGCTTTCCCTGACCAATGGTTTAATAGTTTTTGCACACGGCAAACTCTTATGAATGAAACTCTGAGGTAGTACTACGATACAGTTATGCAAGTGGCTGTGAATGGTTGCCAATGACAACGTGTTGCACACGGTAAATTCTGATCATTTATAATATGGATTCTACCGGGTTGTTAAAGCTCAAATTAAAACATTCCAGTTTAAATGTCTTTAAATGCATTCTGAAACACAAGTTATCAATTATTTTGATGTAAATAGTGATAATATATTAATATTTCCTAAGTATCGTCAACTTCCGCCATTAAAAAGGGGGGCGTGGCCAACCCCATGGCGAAATCAGGTTGAGCGAGCTGCATGACCTGCTGCGAACGCGTAGAAACATGGCGTTTCTCGTAAGACACATATCCAAATGGAACGGAACTCAAATATATATCGAAAGTACTAATTTAATAACAAATAGACACACACATCGGAAAATTAAAAACTCTGATTTTTTGGCGCCGATTGCGAATTCCCATACACAAAAAGTAGTAGTCCACCTTGACTTACCGAAGTATCTACCAATAGTACCAGAATCCGGGAGAAACCGGGATCCGGGAGAAACCGGAATCCGGATTATTCCGGAATCCGAATCCGGAATCCGAATCCGGAATCCGGATCCGAATCCGGATCCGGCGGATTTCGCATAAGAAAATCCGGATCCGGATCCGGTTGGAAAAAACGGATCCGGCACACCCCTATATAAGATTGTTGTACACTGTATTATAAGATTGTTGTACAGTGTGCTATAAGAGTGTTGTACACTGTGCTGTAAGAGTGTTGTACACTGTGCTATAAGAGTGTTGTAAACTGTGTTGTAAGATTGTTGTACACTGTGCTGTAAGAGTGTTGTACACTGTGCTGTAAGAGTGTTGTACACTGTGCTGTAAGAGTGTTGTACACTGTGTTGTAAGATTGTTGTACACTGTGCTATAAGAGTGTTTTATATTGTGCTATAAGAGTGTTGTACATTGTGCTATTAGAGTGTTGTACACTCTGCTACTATTTCCAGAGCACGTTCCGTGTGTATGGAGCCAAAGCCTCCAGACAAGTGTTTCTGTTTGAGAGGGGTCTGCTGATCAGTAAGAAAAAAGGAGGCGGGATGCTGAGCTGTAAGACATTCATCAAGGTAATCAACTCACCTGTCGTATATGGCCAAAATGAATGAAACAAAGTATAGGAAAACCTTAAGCGTCAGTTCACACGATCAAATTAACCTCAAATTTTGCGTCATATTAGTGTATGAACGCATTATTGTGTGCCTGGTTTCCTTTTTTTGGACAAAAATGGGAATTTGATCAAATAGTAAGTTGATAGTTGTAACAAGGCTTCATACAATCAAAATGCATGATCGAAAATTTCATCAGGTGAACTGACCCTAATAAAGGAATGCAACAAAACAACAAATGTGTCGGCAAGAAGCCTTTATCAGCAAACAAGCAAAAGTTTTAAAAAGTTTTGTTTCACTCATTTCCTTTTTCTAACCTGACGGCAGTCTCTGCCCATTATAACCATTTATTACAATGAAGTCTTGTAAATATGTTGATAGAAAGGGGGAAAAATGTTCCACAGTTTTTTTACAAATGTCTTCATTGATAAAGCTCTTGATAAGTAAATAGATCCAAGTTTTAGCCCAGAAGCTACATTTTTTAAAGCTGTTATCTTGCTGCATCCCACAGTGTTCAAATCTAATGCTGGTGGAAGTGATCCCCAATGAACCGCTCAGTTTTCATGTGATCCCGTTTGACAACCCAAGGGCTCAGTATACATTACAGGTTGGTTACATTACATCAGTATACATTACAGGTTGGTTACATTACATCAGTATACATTACAGGTTGGTTACATTACATCAGTATACATTACAGGTTGGTTACATTACATCAGTATACATTAAGGTTGGTTACATTACATCAGTATATATTACAGGTTGGGTACATCAGTATACATTACATAAGTTTCATTATACACACTGTATTGATTTGATGTATTCAGATAATCACTAGAGAACCTTGTGTTCAGATAATCACTAGAGAACCTTGTGTTCAGATAATCACTAGAGAACCTTGTGTTCAGATAATCACTAGAGAACCTTGTATTCAGATAATCACTAGAGAACCTTGTATTCAGATAATCACTAGAGAACCTTGTATTCAGATAATCACTAGAGAACCTTGTATTCAGATAATCACTAGAGAACCTTGTGTTCAGATAATCACTAGAGAACCTTGTATTCAGATAATTACTAGAGAACCTTGTATTCAGATAATCACTAGAGAACCTTGTATTCAGATAATCACTAGAGAACCTTGTGTTCAGATAATCACTAGAGAACCTTGTGTTCAGATAATCACTAGAGAACCTTGTGTTCAGATAATCACTAGAGAACCTTGTGTTCAGATAATCACTAGAGAACCTCGTGTTCAGATAATCCCTAGAGAACCTTGTGTTCAGATAATCCCTAGAGAACCTTGTGTTCAGATAATCCCTAGAGAACCTTGTGTTTCAGTTCCATTAAAAATCCTATTACGTGTAAACCCATAAAATCCATTGATAGCCAATAAAAACTAGACAATGTCAAGTTTCAAGTTTTATTTGATAAATTCAACTGATTTTTTACATTAGGATAGTACTGCGAGGTCATGCCATTTATAACTTTGTTACTATAGTATAATACTGCTTGGTCATGACATTTATAACTTTGTTACTGCAGTATAATACTGCTTGGTCATGAGACATTTATAACTTTGTTACTGTAGTATAATACTGCTTGGTCATGCCATTTATAACTTTGTTACTTCAGTATAATACTGCTTGGTCATGAGACATTTATAACTTTGTTACTGTAGTATAATACTGCTTGGTCATGACATTTTTAACTTTGTTACTGCAGTATAATACTGCTTGGTCATGACATTTATAACTTTGTTACTGCAGTATAATACTGCTTGGTCATGCCATTTATAACTTTGTTACTTCAGTATAATACTGCTTGGTCATGAGACATTTATAACTTTGTTACTGTAGTATAATACTGCTTGGTCATGACATTTTTAACTTTGTTACTGCAGTATAATACTGCTTGGTCATGACATTTATAACTTTGTTACTGTAGTATAATACTGCTTGGTCATGACATTTATAACTTTGTTACTGTAGTATAATACTGCTTGGTCATGACATTTATAACTTACCCAGCATGGCTGATGTTAAAAAAACTGCACAATTTTTGTTTCGTTTGAATAATGCTAAGATTTTTTTTCAAAAACAAAACAAAGTATTAACTGCTTTAAGAGTGTATGAAATTAAGCTTTGTTTTTTTAAAAAAAGGACATTTATTTTACCTGAAGAGAAGTGTGATGATATGTCAATACTTAAAGCAGTGGTTCTTAACCTTGTATGGAGATACCGAACCCCACCAGTTTCATATGCGCATTCACCAAACCCTTCTTAATAGGAAAAATAATAATTTTTTTTTTTTCTGTTTTTTTTTTTTTTTGGACCTCCACCGAACCCCTGAGACTGACTCACTGAACCCCTGGGGTTTGATCGAACCCAGGTTAAGAACCACTGACTTAAAGAGTGAAGAAAAATGTGATGATATGTCAATACTTAAACAGACTGTCTGCATGAAATATTTTTATTCGCCAGGCTCGGAACATGGAGCAGAAGAAAAAGTGGTGCCAGGAAATAAAGCGCCTGATACTTGAAAGTTTCAAAGGTCGGATTCCAGACAGCGTGAAGGATTTAGTCATGCAGCTTGGCAGCAACCATGATGACGGTATGTCCACTGGGTTGTAATGGCTTTTAGTTTACTCATGGGTTGACAAGTTGTGTCACATCCCAGACAGTGTGAAGGATTTAGTCATGCAGCTTGGCAGCAACCATGATGACGGTATGTCCACTGGTTTGTAACGGCTTTTAGTTTACTCATGGGTTGACAAGTTGTGTCACATCCCAGACAGTGTGAAGGATTTAGTCATGCAGCTTGGCAGCAATCATGATGACGGTATGTCCACTGGGTTGTAATGGCTTTTAGTTTACTCGTGGGTTGACAAGTTGTGTCACATCCCAGACAGTGTGAAGGATTTAGTCATGCAGCTTGGCAGCAACCATGATGACAGCATGTCCACTGGGTTGTAATGGCTTTTAGTTTACTCGTGGGTTGACAAGTTGTGTCACATCCCAGACAGTGTGAAGGATTTAGTCATGCAGCTTGGCAGCAACCATGATGACTGTATGTTCACTGGGTTGGAATGGCTTTTAGTTTACTCGTGGGTTGACAAGTTGTGTCACATCCCAGACAGTGTGAAGGATTTAGTCATGCAGCTTGGCAGCAACCATGATGACGGTATGTCCACTGGGTTGTAATGGCTTTTAGTTTACTCGTGGGTTGACAAGTTGTGTCACATCACAGACAGTGTGAAGGATTTAGTCATGCCGCTTGGCAGCAACCATGATGACTGTATGTCCACTGGTTTGTAACGGCTTTTAGTTTACTAGTGGATTGACAAGTTGTGTCATGAGAATAATGGGAATTTTTCCCTTCTGGGTGAAGACTCCATACCTTCTACATCATGCAGTATTGTTATGTATATGCTGCTCAGACAGATGAGCGTACATGCCCAAATAGGCACTGGATCTAAATGATGATTTATGTGCTGCTGAGATTTCACTTGAACAAAAATTCAACATTTAACAACGACATGAAATTGATTGAGCAAATAAAATGATAAATTAAGTTAATGTGGTACTGGGATGTTGTACCGTGGTACTGGGACGTTGTACTGTGGTACTGGGAGGTTGTACTGTGGTACTGGGACGTTGTACTGTGGTACTGGGACATTGTACTGGTACTGGGACGTTGTACCTACCTTTTCAATCTCATTGAACATTGTGCAATAGATATTTCATTAAACAAATTTTTTTGATACAAAAATTTAAAAAACTCTGCCACTGATTTAATTCCCAGATTACGTGACTAAAGAAGCGCTCGAAGCAGTCCGGAAGAATCAACACACAGCTCCTGAATATTTGGAGAAAAGAAAATTCAGGAGAAAGTCTGGATCACGTCTGCCAGGTAGGTAGGGAGGTCATGGGAAGTCATGGACTTTCCTTTGGTTGATGCCTGAGGTTCTCATATAAGATCAGATGAGATTCTTTTATTGATTCAATTCAATGGACATTTTGTTTTGATTGTTTTCTTAAGTGAATCATTGTGTGGTAAGAATAGAAGTTAGGTTCTTGAGTGAATCATTGTGTGGTAAGAATAGAAGATAGGTTCTTGAGTGAATCATTGTGTGGTAAGAATAGAAGTTAGGTTCTTGAGTGAATCATTGTGTGGTAAGAATAGAAGTTAGGTTCTTGAGTGAATCAAACACACCATTCTTATCTTCAATCCAAGTTGAGTGAATCATTGTGTGGTAAGAATAGAAGTTAGGTTCTTGAGTGAATCATTGTGTGGTAAGAATAGAAGTTAGGTTCTTGAGTGAATCATTGTGTGTTCAGAATGGAAGTTAAGTTCTTGAGTGAATCATTGTGTGTTCAGAATGGATGTTAAGTTCTTGAGTGAATCATTGTGTGTTCAGAATGGATGTTAAGTTCTTGAGTGAATCATTGTGTGGTCAGAATGGAAGTTAAGTTCTTGAGTGAATCATTGTGTGGTAAGAATAGAAGTTAGGTTCTTGAGTGAATCATTGTGTGTTCAGAATGGAAGTTAAGTTCTTGAGTAAATCATTGTGTGTTCAGAATGGAAGTTAAGTTCTTGAGTGAATCATTGTGTGTTCAGAATGGATGTTAAGTTCTTGAGTAAATCATTGTGTGTTCAGAATGGATGTTAAGTTCTTGAGTGTATCATTGTGTGGTCAGAATGGATGTTAAGTTCTTGAGTGAATCATTGTGTGTTCAGAATGGATGTTAAGTTCTTGAGTAAATCATTGTGTGTTCAGAATGGATGTTAAGTTCTTGAGTGTATCATTGTGTGGTCAGAATGGATGTTAAGTTCTTGAGTAAATCATTGTGTGTTCAGAATGGAAGTTAAGTTCTTGAGTGTATCATTGTGTGGTCAGAATGGATGTTAAGTTCTTGAGTGAATCATTGTGTGTTCAGAATGGAAGTTAAGTTCTTGAGTGTATCATTGTGTGTTCAGAATGGATGTTAAGTTCTTGAGTGTATCATTGTGTGGTCAGAATGGATGTTAAGTTCTTGAGTGAATCATTGTGTGTTCAGAATGGAAGTTAAGTTCTTGAGTGTATCATTGTGTGTTCAGAATGGAAGTTAAGTTCTTGAGTAAATCATTGTGTGTTCAGAATGGATGTTAAGTTCTTGAGTGAATCATTGTGTGGTCAGAATGGATGTTAAGTTCTTGAGTGAATCATTGTGTGTTCAGAATGGATGTTAAGTTCTTGAGTGTATCATTGTGTGGTCAGAATGGATGTTAAGTTCTTGAGTGAATCATTGTGTGTTCAGAATGGATGTTAAGTTCTTGAGTGAATCATTGTGTGTTCAGAATGGATGTTAAGTTCTTGAGTGAATCATTGTGTGTTCAGAATGGATGTTAAGTTCTTGAGTGAATCATTGTGTGTTCAGAATGGATGTTAAGTTCTTGAGTGAATCATTGTGTGTTCAGAATGGATGTTAAGTTCTTGAGTGAATCATTGTGTGTTCAGAATGGATGTTAAGTTCTTGAGTGAATCATTGTGTGTTCAGAATGGATGTTAAGTTCTTGAGTGAATCATTGTGTGTTCAGAATGGATGTTAAGTTCTTGAGTGAATCATTGTGTGTTCAGAATGGATGTTAAGTTCTTGAGTGAATCATTGTGTGTTCAGAATGGATGTTAAGTTCTTGAGTGAATCATTGTGTGTTCAGAATGGATGTTAAGTTCTTGAGTGAATCATTGTGTGTTCAGAATGGATGTTAAGTTCTTGAGTGAATCATTGTGTGTTCAGAATGGATGTTAAGTTCTTGAGTGAATCATTGTGTGTTCAGAATGGATGTTAAGTTCTTGAGTGAATCATTGTGTGTTCAGAATGGATGTTAAGTTCTTGAGTGAATCATTGTGTGTTCAGAATGGATGTTAAGTTCTTGAGTGAATCATTGTGTGTTCAGAATGGATGTTAAGTTCTTGAGTAAATCATTGTGTGTTCAGAATGGATGTTAAGTTCTTGAGTGAATCATTGTGTGTTCAGAATGGATGTTAAGTTCTTGAGTAAATCATTGTGTGGTCAGAATGGATGTTAAGTTCTTGAGTGAATCATTGTGTGTTCAGAATGGATGTTAAGTTCTTGAGTGTATCATTGTGTGTTCAGAATGGATGTTAAGTTCTTGAGTAAATCATTGTGTGGTCAGAATGGATGTTAAGTTCTTGAGTGTATCATTGTGTGGTCAGAATGGATGTTAAGTTCTTGAGTGTATCATTGTGTGGTCAGAATGGATGTTAAGTTCTTGAGTAAATCATTGTGTGTTCAGAATGGATGTTAAGTTCTTGAGTGTATCATTGTGTGGTCAGAATGGATGTTAAGTTCTTGAGTGAATCATTGTGTGTTCAGAATGGATGTTAAGTTCTTGAGTGAATCATTGTGTGTTCAGAATGGATGTTAAGTTCTTGAGTGTATCATTGTGTGTTCAGAATGGATGTTAAGTTCTTGAGTGAATCATTGTGTGTTCAGAATGGATGTTAAGTTCTTGAGTGTATCATTGTGTGTTCAGAATGGATGTTAAGTTCTTGAGTAAATCATTGTGTGTTCAGAATGGATGTTAAGTTCTTGAGTAAATCATTGTGTGTTCAGAATGGATGTTAAGTTCTTGAGTGTATCATTGTGTGGTCAGAATGGATGTTAAGTTCTTGAGTGAATCATTGTGTGGTAAGAATAGAAGTTAGGTTCTTGAGTGAATCATTGTGTGTTCAGAATGGATGTTAAGTTCTTGAGTAAATCATTGTGTGTTCAGAATGGATGTTAAGTTCTTGAGTAAATCATTGTGTGTTCAGAATGGATGTTAAGTTCTTGAGTGTATCATTGTGTGGTCAGAATGGATGTTAAGTTCTTGAGTGAATCATTGTGTGTTCAGAATGGATGTTAAGTTCTTGAGTGAATCATTGTGTGTTCAGAATGGATGTTAAGTTCTTGAGTGTATCATTGTGTGTTCAGAATGGATGTTAAGTTCTTGAGTGAATCATTGTGTGTTCAGAATGGATGTTAAGTTCTTGAGTGAATCATTGTGTGGTCAGAATGGATGTTAAGTTCTTGAGTGTATCATTGTGTGGTCAGAATGGATGTTAAGTTCTTGAGTAAATCATTGTGTGTTCAGAATGGATGTTAAGTTCTTGAGTGAATCATTGTGTGGTAAGAATAGAAGTTAGGTTCTTGAGTGAATCATTGTGTGGTAAGAATAGAAGTTAGGTTCTTGAGTGAATCATTGTGTGTTCAGAATTTCAGAATGGATGTTAAGTTCTTGAGTGAATCATTGTGTGTTCAGAATGGATGTTAAGTTCTTGAGTGTATCATTGTGTGGTCAGAATGGATGTTAAGTTCTTGAGTGAATCATTGTGTGTTCAGAATGGATGTTAAGTTCTTGAGTAAATCATTGTGTGTTCAGAATGGATGTTAAGTTCTTGAGTGAATCATTGTGTGGTCAGAATGGAAGTTAAGTTCTTGAGTAAATCATTGTGTGTTCAGAATGGAAGTTAAGTTCTTGAGTGAATCATTGTGTGTTCAGAATGGATGTTAAGTTCTTGAGTAAATCATTGTGTGTTCAGAATGGAAGTTAAGTTCTTGAGTAAATCATTGTGTGGTCAGAATGGATGTTAAGTTCTTGAGTGAATCATTGTGTGTTCAGAATGGATGTTAAGTTCTTGAGTGTATCATTGTGTGGTCAGAATGGATGTTAAGTTCTTGAGTGTATCATTGTGTGGTCAGAATGGAAGTTAAGTTCTTGAGTAAATCATTGTGTGTTCAGAATGGAAGTTAAGTTCTTGAGTAAATCATTGTGTGGTCAGAATGGATGTTAAGTTCTTGAGTGAATCATTGTGTGTTCAGAATGGATGTTAAGTTCTTGAGTGAATCATTGTGTGTTCAGAATGGATGTTAAGTTCTTGAGTGAATCATTGTGTGTTCAGAATGGATGTTAAGTTCTTGAGTGAATCATTGTGTGTTCAGAATGGATGTTAAGTTCTTGAGTGAATCATTGTGTGTTCAGAATGGATGTTAAGTTCTTGAGTGAATCATTGTGTGTTCAGAATGGATGTTAAGTTCTTGAGTGAATCATTGTGTGTTCAGAATGGATGTTAAGTTCTTGAGTGAATCATTGTGTGTTCAGAATGGATGTTAAGTTCTTGAGTGAATCATTGTGTGTTCAGAATGGATGTTAAGTTCTTGAGTGAATCATTGTGTGTTCAGAATGGATGTTAAGTTCTTGAGTGAATCATTGTGTGTTCAGAATGGATGTTAAGTTCTTGAGTGAATCATTGTGTGTTCAGAATGGATGTTAAGTTCTTGAGTGAATCATTGTGTGTTCAGAATGGATGTTAAGTTCTTGAGTGAATCATTGTGTGTTCAGAATGGATGTTAAGTTCTTGAGTGAATCATTGTGTGTTCAGAATGGATGTTAAGTTCTTGAGTGAATCATTGTGTGTTCAGAATGGATGTTAAGTTCTTGAGTGAATCATTGTGTGTTCAGAATGGATGTTAAGTTCTTGAGTGAATCATTGTGTGTTCAGAATGGATGTTAAGTTCTTGAGTGAATCATTGTGTGTTCAGAATGGATGTTAAGTTCTTGAGTGAATCATTGTGTGTTCAGAATGGATGTTAAGTTCTTGAGTGAATCATTGTGTGTTCAGAATGGATGTTAAGTTCTTGAGTGAATCATTGTGTGTTCAGAATGGATGTTAAGTTCTTGAGTGAATCATTGTGTGTTCAGAATGGATGTTAAGTTCTTGAGTGAATCATTGTGTGTTCAGAATGGATGTTAAGTTCTTGAGTGAATCATTGTGTGTTCAGAATGGATGTTAAGTTCTTGAGTGAATCATTGTGTGTTCAGAATGGATGTTAAGTTCTTGAGTGAATCATTGTGTGTTCAGAATGGATGTTAAGTTCTTGAGTGAATCATTGTGTGTTCAGAATGGATGTTAAGTTCTTGAGTGTATCATTGTGTGGTCAGAATGGATGTTAAGTTCTTGAGTGAATCATTGTGTGGTAAGAATAGAAGTTAGGTTCTTGAGTGAATCATTGTGTGGTAAGAATAGAAGTTAGGTTCTTGAGTGAATCATTGTGTGTTCAGAATGGATGTTAAGTTCTTGAGTAAATCATTGTGTGTTCAGAATGGAAGTTAAGTTCTTGAGTGTATCATTGTGTGTTCAGAATGGATGTTAAGTTCTTGAGTAAATCATTGTGTGTTCAGAATGGATGTTAAGTTCTTGAGTGTATCATTGTGTGGTCAGAATGGATGTTAAGTTCTTGAGTGAATCATTGTGTGGTAAGAATAGAAGTTAGGTTCTTGAGTGAATCATTGTGTGTTCAGAATGGATGTTAAGTTCTTGAGTGAATCATTGTGTGTTCAGAATGGATGTTAAGTTCTTGAGTAAATCATTGTGTGTTCAGAATGGATGTTAAGTTCTTGAGTGAATCATTGTGTGTTCAGAATGGATGTTAAGTTCTTGAGTGAATCATTGTGTGTTCAGAATGGATGTTAAGTTCTTGAGTAAATCATTGTGTGTTCAGAATGGATGTTAAGTTCTTGAGTGTTAGTAACACACAAGTCTTACCTACAATTCATCTTGAGTGTATCATTGTGTGGTCAGAATGGATGTTAAGTTCTTGAGTAAATCATTGTGTGTTCAGAATGGAAGTTAAGTTCTTGAGTGAATCATTGTGTGGTAAGAATAGAAGTTAGGTTCTTGAGTGAATCATTGTGTGTTCAGAATGGATGTTAAGTTCTTGAGTGTATCATTGTGTGGTCAGAATGGATGTTAAGTTCTTGAGTAAATCATTGTGTGTTCAGAATGGAAGTTAAGTTCTTGAGTGAATCATTGTGTGGTAAGAATAGAAGTTAGGTTCTTGAGTAAATCATTGTGTGTTCAGAATGGATGTTAAGTTCTTGAGTGTATCATTGTGTGGTCAGAATGGATGTTAAGTTCTTGAGTGAATCATTGTGTGTTCAGAATGGATGTTAAGTTCTTGAGTAAATCATTGTGTGTTCAGAATGGATGTTAAGTTCTTGAGTGTATCATTGTGTGGTCAGAATGGATGTTAAGTTCTTGAGTAAATCATTGTGTGTTCAGAATGGATGTTAAGTTCTTGAGTGAATCATTGTGTGGTAAGAATAGAAGTTAGGTTCTTGAGTGAATCATTGTGTGGTAAGAATAGAAGTTAGGTTCTTGAGTGAATCATTGTGTGGTAAGAATAGAAGTTAGGTTCTTGAGTGAATCATTGTGTGGTAAGAATAGAAGTTAGGTTCTTGAGTGAATCAAACACACCATTCTTATCTTCAATCCAAGAACAGTGAATCATTGTGTGGTAAGAATAGAAGTTAGGTTCTTGAGTGAATCATTGTGTGGTAAGAATAGAAGTTAGGTTCTTGAGTGAATCATTGTGTGGTCAGAATAGAAGTTAGGTTCTTGAGTGAATCATTGTGTGGTCATGGCTTTTTGTTCAAGCAGAGTTCCTGGCTTCTGTGGATAATCCTAATGTCTGTAACCGACTTAGCTTTGGTTTGTTGCTTCAAAACCGCCATCGTGCAAGATGGCTGATAATATGGTGTATAAGATGGTGGATCCTCTGAGTCCAAGATAGCGGATGTGAATTAGATTAAACCCTGCTATGTCTGAAAATACCATTTTACCAATGTTACTCACCATAAAACACAAGATTATCAGTCCAAAATAACACCATGTTGCACATTGACCATAACATCATGTTACACATTGACCATAACATCATGTTACACATTGACCATAACATCATGTTACACATTGACCATAACATCATGTTACACATTGACCACGACTTGATTCCAAAATAAAACATTAAAAATCCCTGAAAACTGATGCGATTGAATCACCTGCAGAGTAGGGCCCTGGAAGTAATTTAACTCGGATATTTGAATTTTTTTCCTACAGAGATTTGTCACCCATTGAAACGTTACATTGATCAATACACACCAACTGATTTTTTAAAAAAATGACATTTCATAAATTCAGCAGCAAATCAAGTGCTTCTCATTAAGAATTAGTTTCTTGTAAAATCCATTTTTTTTTACTCCTATTATTTTAATCCTATTATTATACTCCTGTTATTTTACTCCTACTTTTTAAAACAGATTTCAGTATATTAAAGCCACAGAAAGCAAAAAGAGGTAATTTTTAAAAGCTTTTATTTAACTTGTGATTTTTGTCTGGGTCAAATCTTGTCATTCAGTTTTGACCCACTTTCTGATCTGCAATTTAGCTGAAACTTTGTACAAATACCTTATATATAAAGATGTTAAAGTTCTAGAGATAAAAGCTAATCACATATTGATTACATAAAATTTGATCAAATCAGTTTCTAAATCCAAGTATTGATTTGACAATTTGATTTGAGTTTCCATACTCAATATTTATTTGATAAAATCAAGTTCCCATATTCAATATTGATTTGATAACGAAAGCTTATCATAATAATAAATATCTTAATAATGTATAGGACAAGTAAAATAATTTGTCTTTTTTTCTTTCTTTTTTAACAGCTGCTAACAAAAAGGTAAGCTTATTATTCTACTGGTGAATGGAACAGCGTTCTTAAAACTGGTTGTTTGTGCCGGCCAATTTCATAGATCATAACAAGAGGCATTCATAAATATCTTTTTAAAGTTTTAATTGAAAAAGTAAAGTTATTCCAAATTCTGTTCAGTGTTTTTCAAACTGTAACATATTTTATTTTGAAAGAAAAAGAGTAGCCAATTTTCATACACAGGCCCCCTATTTTCACTGATGGGCCCCCTATTTTCACTGATGGGCACCCTATTTTCACTGAAGGGCCCCTATTTTCATTGAAGGGCCCCTATTTTCACTGATGGGCCCCCTATTTTCACTAATGGGCCCCCTATTTTCATGAATGGGCCCCCTATTGTTATTTCATGTTTTAGTATTTTCAGTTTCATTTCATTTGATTTTTTTCAGAATGATGTAAAACTTGATGTCAAAGGTCGCAGGGCAGAGAGTAAGTCTCCCGATGCGGACAGGCGGCTACTTATGCCTCAGGTTAGTGCATGCGTTTTTTCAAATCTCTATAGTAGCCACAGTGTAGCCATAGTGTGGCCACAATGTAGCAGCAAATAGATGGTGCCTTAGGAAAAATAATAAAGACTAGTTGATGCCCCCCATAGCATAGGGTGGTGTAAGCATAGGGTGTTGTAGAAATAGGGTAGTGTAAGCATAGGGTGGTGTAAGCATAGGGTGGTGTAAGCATAGGGTGGTGTAAGCATAGGGTGGTGTAAGCATAGGGTGGTGTAAGCATAGGGTGTTGTAAGCATAGGGTGGTGTAAGCATAGGGTGGTGTAAGCATAGGGTAGTGTAAGCATAGGGTGGTGTAAGCATAGGGCTTAACTAGGTGCAGTTTTTTACTCGGGTCCGGGTATTTTGAGAATATTCCTGGTGGGTCCAAGTGTTACAAAAAAAAAGAGTTAACTTCTCATTATCTATAAAAAATCGGCCTACAGATAGTCCTACCTGTGGGCCTTTAAACAATAATCCTACATACAGTCCTATACCCTACCTGTGGGCCTTTAAACAATAATCCTACAGACAGTCCTATACCCTACCTGTGGGCCTTTAAACAATAATCCTACAGACAGTCCTATACCCTACCTGTGGGCCTTTAAACAATAGTCCTACAGATAGTCCTACACCCTACCTGTGGGCCTTTAAACAATAGTCCTACAGACAGTCCTATACCCTACCTGTGGGCCTTTAAACAATAGTCCTACAGACAGTCCTATACCCTACCTGTGGGCCTTTAAACAATAGTCCTACAGACAGTCCTATACCCTACCTGTGGGCCTTTAAACAATAGTCCTACAGACAGTCCTATACCCTACCTGTGGGCCTTTAAACAATAGTCCTACAGACAGTCCTATACCCTACCTGTGGGCCTTTAAACAATAATCCTACAGACAGTCCTACACCCTACCTGCCGGCCTTTAAACAATAGTCCTACAGACAGTCCTATACCCTACCCGTGGAGCTTTATTTATTAAATTAATTGTTGCCTCCGAAATTCAACCGTCTTACCTTGGCTCAACCTTCTTACCTTGGTTTTACCTTGGTTCAACCATCTTACCTTGGTTCAACCATGACCCTTGCTGCTCTGCAGCTTTTTTTTCCCCCCCCTCAGTACTGTTAATGTAAAACATGTTGAGCAGGGGGAGGGTCGGTTGGGAATAGGAAGCAGCAACACCACAAGCAAAATATATCTAAGCTCAGTGTACTTAAGATAAAGAGAACTAAGGGATGTGCTGATGTGTGTAAGGTTGGGGGGTGGGGGCAGGTTTTTTTAAAGAGTTTTTGTGGATTCTGGCATTGGATAAATCTTTGTAAAAATTCAAGGGAAACATTAGAAGAATTATAGTGCAAACAGAAATGATTTTTTTAAATGATGTCATATTTTGGAGCGGACTGACCTTTTATCAGTTCAAGTTGACCAGTGATAAAGCCCTGATCATTATCGTAGTCAAATTTTTAACCATTGCCCAGAGTCTGACCAGAGTCAAGGGCTGTACCCACTGACCTTTGTCCAGTCTTTAAAAAAAAATTGAGAAAAAATGTTCCTTATGCAACTGACAGCTGTGAAACATCATATTGATGGCTATGAGTATCATACACCTGATACTCGCTATGAGTATCATACACCTGATACTCTCTATGAGTATCATACACCTGATACTAGCTATGAGTATCATACACCTGATACTCGCTATGAGTATCATACACCTGATACTCGCTATGAGTATCATACACCTGATACTCGCTATGAGTATCATGCACTGTTACTCGCTATGAGTATCATGCACCTGATACTAGCTATGAGTATCATACACCTGATACTAGCTATGAGTATCATACACCTGATACTCACTTTGAGTATCATACACCTGGTGTATGATACTCTTTTTGAATTAAAATGATCAATTCTAATTGAACAGTTAATCCACTTAATCCATCAGGCAAATTGTCATTAAAAAGAAAAGTCCAGATCTTATCAATGCATCAATTTACTAGTTCTCATTTCTCCATATATTTCCTTTCAGAATGCCATCAAACGACGCAGTCAGAGTCATAATATCGTAATGTCAGGTGCTCTCACACCAGAGCCGGCCAAAGGCCACCGAGACCAGGACACGACACTTGAATTCGAACCTTCTCCCCTCTCACCCTCCGCCACTTCCAGCGACTCCTCATTCATGCAGACGCCCGACAATTCAAAAATGCTGGCGGACGCAGAATTGGAAACTGAAGTACAACTAAGGCCCCGCAGCTTCCGCAATGCAGTTCGGGCCCATCCTATCACCTCAGTTGAACTTAATGAGCTGCTGTCCAGGATGAGGGGGTCAGGCCTGTCCAGAACTTCTGAAGACTCGACCAAACAGCCGGACCTGCCGGCAGCGAGGCCGCTCGAGCAAATTGAGAGCACTCTGAGAAACATTGACGACTCCTCTGAGGAAGATATTGCCGATAATGTGAGTGTTTCCAATGATAAAAAAAAGGCAGCGTTGACTTTGGATTTAGGTCAAGGTCATGACAGTCGGCCAGATGACCATAAACATAACAGCACTGATTCTCTTATCCCCTCGGAAATTCAGTTCAGTAAAGCTGAAAGGGACAAGTTGATAATGACAGATGCCAGGTCGACCAGCATGCCAGATTTAAACATAGAAGAGGTCAGAGGCATTGCTGAGTTGAAGGGGACAGAAGAAGGCAAACCAGGGCTGTACTCGCAAAGTGTGACCAACGTCAATAAAGACGAGTATGTTCAGAAAGGCAAAGGCAGGTTGAGCAGGAAAGATTTCCATAATAGTCACATCGTCAAAAGAAGGATGAAGGGTTATCAGGATAATGAACCTGGAAACACCAATGTTACCAGGCCGGTGACAGCTTTTCATGACTCCTACAGCAAACGAGCTGCTGAGAAAGCTTCCCTGAGAATGAAAGGTGTTCAGCCCGCAAACAAAGAAAAACATTTGTCCACTCCGGAGTCGAGGTCTCATCACCAAAATTCTAATGCCAAACTAACGGTCTGGAACAGTGTTGAGAAACTGACCAAAGGGTCGATGAATGACCTCTCCCATTTAAATGAAGATCCATGGGTGATGAATCCAGAGGTCGCTAGTTCAACATCCCGTTCGGACTCAGATACACACGTTTCAAATTCCAGCCACCTGCCGAAACCTACTGCTTCTCTCGGGGTGACCTCTCGACCCAGAGGTCACTCTGACATCACTGAAATGATGCAGGTGTCATTGAATAAGGAGAATTTCGATTGGCTGGTGTACCTCAACAGGAACTCCTTTCCACCTAAAAGTGACCAGACCTCCCTGGCAATGAAAAGGTTATCTTCCTTGGGAATAGACCAGCCAGCAGCCAGCCAGGACAGCTTTTCTAGTCAGTTCCATTACGCCACACCGCCGAGGTCATATATGAACTCAGGAAATATGAACAGGCATGAGTCTGGATATAAGGAGAGTTCCTTCAGCAAAGCAAAGCCCGGGGTCAATGCCCTCGGGGGCTCAACTCTGCCTGTTTCCTTAACGAAACCGATCCAGTTCCACGCACATGGCCTGATGCGATCCAACAGCTCCCCCATGGCGGGGGCCGATAAAACCGTCCATAAAGACAGGCCGACGTCTTTACACGCCGACAATTTAACAGACGAAAGTGACCAAATGTTGGCTGAGATGGAGGCCTACATCAGCAACTCCTCTGACAGCATCAAGAGCACCAACAAGTTTCCCACGTCTCTGCCCGCGATCACGGTGGAAGACGAGGACGCCAACAACAACAACATCAACCGTCTGTCCATCGCCTCATCTCTGTCCACATCGTCCTACGACAGTCAGGACAGCAACAGTCACTCGAGTGACGGACTGGTCGGGACGCTGAGACATAAGCTCCACACCTGGGCCAAGCGTAGCACCAGACATGACAGTGAGCAGAGCCACACCTCCACGCTGACCTCGGATGACGAGGACACCGAAACCCCCAAGCCCACGAGCAACACTTTTGACCCGCCTTTGAGGAACAGAAATTCGTGGCGGGATGATCGTGATTTGGAGAATGTGTTGAGGGAGCATGGGCTGGGCTCTACATCCCTAGGATCACGTATGGCCTTTTCCATGCCAACAAATGGAGGGAACCCTAGCCAACCTCACAATTGCAGTGATATAGAAATCGAGGACCCTGTATCACCTGGTGGGTGTGGACTCAGCGATACAGAAACACCTAAATTCGATAGCTCATCTCAAAATGAGACCAATTTTTCTCTACCTCCTGCAAAGGAAGGAGAGGCTGCTCTTCTGCGTCCAGCAGCTGATCTTCTGCATCCAGCAGCTGATCTTCTGCATCCAGCAAGGAGTCAACAAGATGACGTGCCTGCTGCTTCATCTGATTCTTCAGAATCTGTTCAGTGGGATATTCCTTATGCAGCTTCTTCAGCCGGCGGTCAGTGTGAGTCTCTGTCCCATGTGACGCCACTTAAGCTGAGTGCTCAGAGCCATTATGGCCAGGGAGAATCTAACTTTATCTCAGACAGTGTTCAACGGGAGAGCCAAACACCGGACTCTGGAATCTCATTTCGAAACACAGACACCCCATCGGATCACCCTCTTCTCAGTGACACCATTACCCCGGCGGAACCTTCCCCAAAGGAAATTCCCCAAACAGTGAACTCGAACAGTGACACAAACCACTCTGAGGAAGACCGGGTCAACCTCAGGAAGCGAGGTTCCTTTGAGTCGATTGATTCAGTTGACAGTTTTTACGAGAGAAGACTTTCTGTGGCTTTTGATTCGGACGTGTTCCAGGATAATCCCACCATTGTCGGCGTTTACGAGGACACACAGGAGGGCAACGTGGAGACGGCGACCCCCAGGAAAACGATCCGTGAGTATATTCAGCAGATTGAGCAAAAGCTCAGACCCCCGTCGCCGAAAATTTTCGAGGTGAAGCGCAGGGAGCCCGGAGCCATGATCAGACAGAGGTTGGAGACGCTGAGAGAGAATGTCTTGTACGGACGTCGAAGCTCGAGCCGGCAAGGCAGCGAGGAGAGGGAGGGAACCAGAGCTAAATCCCAGCCCCCTGCTCAGTTTCGAAACAAACTCACGCGCGCCACAAAACTTGAAAACAGGCACAGCGAAGATCTCCGTCACCTGGACAGGGCAATGGCCGCCTCACGAGATAGCTTATCGAAGTCGATGGAAAATTTATCCAAACCAAGAGACGTTTTGTCATTCTCAAGGGAAAGTCTTCTCCTGTCCAAATCCAGGGACAGCTTGAATTCAGACTCCCCGACCTATCAGTGCAGTTTGTCTCCGCTGATGAATCAAAACTGCGGCACACCAGGTCACGAAAGCGACGCCAACAGATTCACGTACATAAACGTTGAGCACAAGGGGAACCAGTTCCTCCACAGAGCACGGAGCAACTCGGACCAGCCAGAGTCTGACACGGCCATGGCCATTGAGGGTGGCACATTGTCGCGATCAATGTGTCGTCTGGACCAGGTCAACGCAGAGGTGGACAATCTGGTCATAATGAAAGGATGGGTCAGAGCACTTATATCAAAATTCCAACAAAAAGACTGAAATGTAGGTCAAGACAAAGATGGGGGGGGGGGGGGGGGGGGCACACAAAATTTCAGGATTTATTCGGTCATATATTTTTTTTATTGATTCATTGTAAATATTTTTATTACGTTTCATTTTTGTAAATTTACCTTCTTTTTTGAATGGGGGGGGGGGGGTTGGGGGGCACACAAAATTTCATGATTTATTCTGTCATATATTTTTTTTATTGATTCATTGTAAATATTTTTATTACGTTTCATTTTTGTAAAATTACCTTCTTTTTTGAAAATTGACATTGCTTGAATGATTTCCTGGGGATTTAATTTCTTTGTGTATTTAATATTATACCCGGTCTTTTGATATATATATATATATCCAAAGTGGCTGCAAAATTAGCTTGAGCACTGCAAAAAATTATCAGATGTGCTGGGGAAAATTAGCACATGTGCTGTGGAAAACAATCATCGTATAACAATGAAAACTTGTCAGGGAAAACAATGTTATTTTCTGCTGGCATCTAGATACAGTTATCTATCTTTTCTACTGCTGAAGTCGAAAAACCTTATTTAAAGTTGTATGCTTTTGTTGAATTTTGCTCTAGCAGACGCTGTGGACATTTAATATGTTGTGCATCATGATAAAATGTTGCCTTCTTTTATCAAGCCACTATCAACTCTGTCAATGCTGGTGTGAAGAGAATATTATTTTCTAGTCGCATTCTGGTTGGTCTACTGAAATAAAGTTTAAATTTGTATAAATGGAATTTGGGTCATTGAACTCCAAGGCTGAAGGGGGGTAAGGTTATTGGATTTGGGATCACATCACTCTGTCACTTTGAATAAACACTAATGAGTATGTGTGTCTGATTAATGTTGAATGAAGACATGAGACTCATTTGTGACATAGAGTTTATTTGATGGAAGTCATACACCATGTTTAGGGAAAAAATTGCTGATACATCCTTTTTTTTTGTAAATCATTTTAGGAGAGCCCTAAATGAGGAGAGCCCTAATTGTGGAGAGCCCTAATTGTGGAGAGCCCTAATTAGGGAGATACCTAATTTGAGAGAGATCTAATTGAGGAGAGACCTAATTGGGGAGAGCTTTCATTGAGCATGAAATTATTACTTTTTATTTTCAATTTACTTTCAATATTTTGACAAATTTTGACCATAATATTATGAACCAGTGCCAGAACTCCTCATTATTGAACTGATCTTGATAGGAAAATTGATGCTATTTCCAAATAATGTGTTTGCTTCGAGTAATTTAATTTTGACATTTTAATCCCACTGGTAATTACGGTGGAGAAGAGAGTGCACCACCAAAACCCCAAGAGGAAAGCGGCTCAAAGGCAGAACTAGGCTTAGATGGTTGGATGATGTGGAAATAGATCTACAGCAGCTGGGAATCCAAGCTTGGAAAAGAAAAGCATCAGTTAGGTCTGAAGGGGTGAGGCAGGCCAAAGCCCTACATGGGCAACAGTGATGGATGGTGTTTACCATTTAGACCTATAAGTAGGCCCGGCTCATAGTGAATTATATTGCAGTTTAATATTGATGGTTTAATCTCGAGGCCACAGATATTCATTATATGATTCTTGTTTGCATTTTACAATTTTGTTTATAAATATTATAAAATCCTAATAGTTGTGTGTCATGAGTTTATATTATCAGTGATAGTGATAGGCATAGTGTAAAGCATATTTCTTTTATTAGGTTAACTCATGCATATTATGGTCAGATTAGATTATATGGTCTATAAAATTAAGAATGAATTAACATATTAATAATCCAGCTTATAGGTGTAATTCTTTGAATCCATAACTTTTTACAGCTGGGTATATTGTACTCATCAAATTATTTGACAGCTAGGTATATTGTACTCATCAGATTGACAGCTAGGTATATTGTACTCATCTGATTATTTGCAGCACATTTGATTTCACAGATCTTTGCAGTTCATTTTGCAGTTTTATTTCATAATAATAAATATGAATTTATTTTTTTTTAAACCAAAAGGCATGTTCAAATATTTTTTTTATATCAGCCCTTACTCACAAGGGCAATATTGTTCACTCAGTGTTAATGTGTATAAAATCATTTATTTTAAATTCAATTTCTTTTTTTTTTTTTTTTTTTGTGTCTGTAAATAAATGTTTCCCAAGTTCTTTCAAGTTCACCTTCATATTCCAAACCTGTTATCAGTGTTAATGTGTATAAAATCATTTATTTTAAATTCAATTTCTTTTTTTTTTTTTTTCTTTTTGTGTCTGTAAATAAATGTTTCCCAAGTGCTTTCAAGTTCACCTTCATATTCCAAACCTGTTACTCTCAGTGTAGACCAAGATTTGATTTGTGTAGATTGTTTTTTTGTTTTTTTTGATGTGCCATATTCTCTTATTGTATGCTACCCCTTGTACAGTTTTTTTAAACAATAAAGATGCATTTATAATTTTGCTAAGTTGTTTGTCATTTTAGCTAGTGGAAGCATAAAAAAGTGAGCTGAAAACTGAGGGAAAGGAGGGGGGAGGGGGGGGGGGGAGAATCGTCACCTAATAAAATAAAATAATTGTATTGACCATTATTTCCCTTTTTCCACATAATCAAAGATTTATCTGTTTGAATGAAATATATCTTCTAAATTTAAAAAAACTAATTAAAAAAAAATTCATTGTTAATGCCTGCATTTATATAGGAAAAAAATGAAATAATTTCCTTTTGAAAGGCCCATGTACCAGTACAAAAAATGATATATATTTTATTAAAAGTTTTAACTGTAGTTTCCTTTCTTTACGATTTAATTGTAAATTAGTGAGCAATCACATCTGTAATTTTAAAACCACCATGTTTTAAAATAACAAAGAAAGTGTCCACAAAATGTCCCCTCCTTCACTGCTCCTAGAGCTCACTATCATGGCCATTGTTTTATTCAGCTTGTGAGGATGACCGTCAGTGTTTCAAATCTAGTTTTCCTTGCAGCTAATCTTGTTGAGATTTAATCATTATGAACCATTCAAATCATTATGAAGATGACTCTGGATTAATCAAATCATTATGAAGATGACTCTGAACCATTCAAATTATTATGAAGGTGACTCTGGATAATCAAAACATTAAGAAGATGACTGGTTCAATCAAATCCTTTTAAAAATGTATCTGAACCATTCAAATCACGAAGATACTGAACCCATCAAATCATTATGAAGATAAATCTGATCCAATTAAAATACTATGAAGATGACTCTAGACCAATCAAATCATTATAAAAATGTATCTGAACTATCAATCGTTTGTGTTTTTTTGGATGAATGGTCACCAATGAATCATCAAGGTCATGGTGTTTGAAGTAAAATGCTATGTGAAGGAACATCTTTTGTCCCCAAGTACTATATGAAGAAACATCTTTTGTCCCCAAGTGCTATGTGAAGATAATAGTTCTATTATGATAAGGGGATAGGCGCCTGAAAAAATCTTACTTTTTGTTTTCATTTTTACTAAGAACGTTCCAAGAATAGATTACATATAAATGTATGCTCCTTTTAAAAACAATTGATATTAAACACTCTTCCCAACTTTTAAAATTGACCTTATTTTAGAAATAAAATGCATGCAAAATATCCCATGTCCATGTTTGAGACCTTAAAAAAACTATTTTTAAATAACATAATGTGCTATAATTATATATCAACGGAAAGGTAAATTCAAGCAATTTTTTTTTAAAAATTTAGATTCGAAGTCAGTAACTAGATTTTCCCCAAATGATCGGATCCACAATCATAAATATATGTACGATATATCTTGGTTATTTTTTTTACCAATTTTGAATGGTCCAAATTAAACCGGTACTAAAATTATAAGGAGTAACCAATGATTAAATGATAACATGCGCATGCGCAATCGAGTTGTTTACGTTCTGTGGCAAATACAAACGAAAGCATCAACAAATTTTGATCTTAAAAGATACATTAAGTCAAGTCTACACGCTTGCTGCAATGGTAAAATACAGAAATAAATAATCTCGAGGAAAGCATGCAATTTAGTGACACACGATAGTATTTCAGATTACTCTGCTGAATAGGATAGGCACTTTGATGAAAATTTCAAAAAAATATTAACAGCTCAACTATCTAGCTCACTCATATTATGGTTCAAAGTTATACATTCTTTAGTAAGGACCCCAAAACCACTTTTACTCCACTTTTTAAAAAATAATTTGTTAAGATAGTCTGTGTTGATTTTGCCATCTAGTGCCTAGATGGACTTTCTCCAGCATCATATTTCATACATAATGAATAATGGGAGTCAAAATTTTTTAGCAAATTTCACTTTCACACTCCTAATCCCCAAAGAAGCCCTGACAAAAGCACTTTCACACGGAAATAGTAAGCAAATTTAGTTCTATAGAGTGAATTTCCATTACATATTAATTTATTTACATTTTAAAAGATGATATTTAAAGTGGCTACTGTGACAACACAGTGAGGCTGTTTTATGACAGTTGTAGTAGTGTTAAATCTGCACCAAGTCCCGATTTATAACGTATTTAAGTTCAGTCAAAAGGCACAGGTACTAATTTTTGCTCAGAAAAATGCCTCGATTGTCATGAAATATCCCCATGCCCCTATTAGTGGGCCTATTAGTGGGAAGGTAAAAAAAAAAGCACTCATAATCATTCTTAATGCTACCTTAAAGAAAATTGAATTTTTGTTTAACTGCCATTTAGGCCTTCAGACTTAAGATACACAATTGTGGGATAAAATTGATAAAAATAACTGAAATATATTTATTGAGCAATAGTGAAAAACATAATCATTAAGGTGGTTAACTTTTGAAAGGTTTTAAAATTTACCACCCAACCACCCCCCC